ATCGCTCCAGCCCCGGGATCACATAATTTTTAACAAAGGTCAAAATGTTGGTCTATATAAAGTGCTTAGAAAAGCGTACAACGTTGTGTAGATGCTGAGTTTTAGTGAATACTCCTATTGTTACTATTACAATAGTGCTCTGGAGAGGGGACACTTTCCATTATACATACTCCTGTATTGCAGGAGTGTTTTGCATGGATGCAATGCATTTATTTCTTGATTGATTGTTGTTGGTGGTCACACCCGATGATGCTCAGGATTTACTCCTGGATCTGCACCCAGGGATCACTCCTGACAGAGGATGCTATGTGGTTGGTGCCGGAGATCAAACCTGGGCCAGTTGCTTTGCAGGACCAGAGTCTTACCCACTGTACTACCTGGCCCTGAAGCATGCAACTTTTTTTCTGATGAAAGAAGGACACATTTAAGCCTATCGTAATCAGACCCTCAGTGGAGAGGGGTTGGGCCTTTGGTTTCACCACCTAAGTTAGCAAAGTGCCCCTCCCAACCGAATCAGGTTGTATCACCTTTCCAGTCTCTCCTGGAATATGCATGGGCCTCCCATGCATATATGCAGTGGCAGAACTGGCTGTGTCCCTGTCAGTCCTGCTTTGCAGGAAGAGAAAAAGACCTAGAGCAGGCTGGCTTCATTCACCTCCCTCCTGGCAGTGTGTGCGCGCGCTCCTCTCACAGCCCCGCGGTGATGGCATGGCGACAGGGCTTTCCGCCTTCCCAGTGACCGCGCGCCCTCATTTTGGCATGGCGCGGTGATTTCTGTCCAGTCACTCCTCCCTGAACTTCAGCCATCTCTCAGGTCTGGCTCCATCCCTGGCTGCAAGGACTCTGCAGTGGGCATGGGCTCGACCAATCAGAGCCCGCCCTCTCTCTGGCCCCTGTGATTGGCTCAGGGCGGGCACATGGTTTAGCTGCTGTGCCATTCATTGGAGGTGCTAGAGCAAAAGACCCTAGACTGGGAATCTCGGTCCCACAGGTTTGTCCTCAGAGAAGTTGGGTTATCCGGTACTTGCACTGTAAGGGAGGGCAGGCTTCCGGGCTCAGGCTGGGGAATGGGCCCAAGGGCAAAAAATAAGAACCTGACTCCTGTCTGCTCCCCACGTCCTGAGATGGGAAAAGCTGAGCGGGAGGGGTGGGTGTCTCATTCTTCCAAATACAGCCCCCTCAAGAGGCTCCACCTCATCACCCGATCACTTCCCCAGCACCCCACCTCCTGAAATATCTTAGGGATTAGGATTTCAATATATGAATCTGAGGGGGGGTGCTAGAAGTATCTATGGGACAAGGTCATCTCTCTTAGGAAATTGTGAAATTGCAGGAAAAAATTGAAATATTTAAGGAGCATAAAGAAATCACTTGGGCTGGAGAGATAGCACAGCGGGTAGGGTGTTTGCCTTGCACGCAGCCTACCCGGGTTCGATTCCCAGCATCCCATATGGTCCCCTGAGCACTGCCAGGAGTGACCCCTGTGCATCGCCAGGTGTGACCCCCCCGCAAAAAAGAAAGAAAGCACTTGGGGGCTGTAGAGATAGCGGGGAGTGTGCTTGCCTTCAGCAAGGCCAGCCTGGGTTCAGTCTCCAGCACCCCATACCTGAGCCCTGCCAGGAGGAAGCCATTGATTGTGGCCCCAAAACAAAAATCACAAAAAGAAAGCCTATGGAAGGAGCTGAAAATGAAAAGTTTTCCTTTTTAGTCTATGTTTTTTATTTCATTTTTTTATATTATTATTAGGCTGGAGCGATAGCACAGTAGTAAGGTGTTTGCCTTGCACGCAGCCAGCCTGGCCAAGCCAGGTTCGATTCCTCTGCCCCTCTCGGAGAGACCGGCAAGCTATCGAGAGTTTCTTGCCCGCACAGCAAAGCCTGGCAAGCTCCCCGTGACGTATTCCATATGCCAAACACAGTAACAAGACTCAAAATGGAGACGTTACTGGGCCCGCTCGAGCAAATCGATGAACAACGGGAGGACAGTGTTTTTTCCATATTTGTATTGCGATACTGTAGTTTACAATAGTGTTAACAATAAGAGTTTCATGCATACAAACCCAGGTTCCTGGCACTACAAAGGTCTCCAGAGTTTTGCTAGGAGCCACCAGAGCACAGAGCTGGAAGTAGCCCCTGAACAGCACCGGATTGGCCCAGAAACAAACAGAACATTACAACATAAAATGATTTCAAATTTAGGGAAAAGCTTCACAAAAGGCATGAAGTAACTTCCATGTATTTACCCAGAGCTGCCAAGCAAAGCACTTTCGAACTTGCTTTATAATGTGTGTGTGTGTGTGTGTGAGAGAGAGAGAGAGAGAGAGAGAGAGAGAGAGAGAGAGAGAAGAGGGAAGGAGAGAGATGTTGTTTTCATGTTGATCTAACTATGTTTAAAACTGGAATGCAAACCTGAATACTAAGATTTGTTTGGAGGGAGGTTCATCTCTGGGGCCCATGTGGTGTTGGAGGTCAAATTCGGAGCTCCTCCGTGCAAAGTAGTCTCTCAGCCCTTTGTGTATCTCTCGTCAACAAATGCTCATTCTATGCCAGGGAACCACCTGGAAACACTAAGAACCAGCAGAGAAAAAAATGTCTAGTTAAGGACCAACCCAGCTCCAAGAGTGGAAAAAGAAACCCTGTGGAAACCTAGGTTTCTTGAGAATCCAGATGTTATGATTAGGTGTCTCACGTAGTGAGAAGCGGCTTCTAATTTTGGAAGTGAAAAGCAAACTCATTCTCCTTAGTAGACGGTTTCTCAGAAAGTCAGTTGTTCCTTCCTCTGTGATTCCTCTGAATGTTGCAATGCTACTTCCTCATCTCCCTCCTGTGACCCCTGGGACCCTGTCCCTCAGGTAAACCTTCCCTTACTGCAGCATTGCCTCCTAAAAGAAAGGAAATACTTGGACTTCTGATACTGTATCACTGAAGCTAACCCCTGGGGTACTCCAGGAGCTCCAGTTACACTGGTTTAAACACATGGGGGAGACTGGCTTTCTTTAGGAAAACCCCGGGGCAGCTACAGCCACAGAGGAGGCTGCAGTGACTCTGTTCCCATTCCTGCTTCCCATCGGCTGAACCTAGCCAGAAGCTTAGGTACAAGTAGGGGGCCTGCTGGCTGCTTTCTACAAAGAAGAACAGGAAACGACTGAGGAATCCCGCACACAGGTTTGACCACTATCCGTATTTCATCATCTCAGATGCCTTCGGTCAGATGTCCCATTATTTAGCATCCAACTATCACTATCACTATCACCCCATTGTTCATCGAGTTGCTCGAGCGGGCACCAGTAATGTCTCCATTCATCCCTGTCATGTGCTAGTGTAGCCCAATGGCATATTGGGGGCTCTTTTAGGATAAGGGGAATGAGGACCATCATTGTTACTGTTTTATTGTTATTGAAGGAACTGGCAGAGGAACCCAGTTTGATCTACAAGCCTGCTCAGTTCGGGACTGGGCCTCCACCACCCAGATCCCCCATCTTCCAGTAGTAGACAGTTACACCCACCAACTGCCGTGTAACCCCATCAACGGCAAAAATTCAGAGACTATAAAACCAAGCTTCCAGAAGAGAACAACAAAGACTCTCCTTCCCTTGCGCCTGGCTCTCCTCACCAGGGCCCCTTGGAGGGGGCGGGTTGCGTTTCCCTCTTATTAACTTATTAATTCAATAAAGGACCTCTTATTGTCTAGTTATCACTCCTAGAAAACCCGGCAGGCTACCGAGCGTATCCTGCCTGCATGCATGCCTGACTGGGAACACCTGTAAAGGTGATTCGAGGCGGCCCCAAAAGCCTCCGTCCCTCTTGGAGAGCCCGGCAAACTACCGAGAGTATCCTGCCCACATGGCAGAGCCTGGCAAGCTACCCATGGCGTACCCGATATGCCAAAAACAGTAACAGCATTCAACTAGAAAAAGAAAAATGCTGCGAATAAACTATGACCCAGGAGCCAGGGATATGGCTCAGCTGTAGAGCATGTGCTTTGTGTGTGTGAAGCTTGCAACAAATAATCACACAATACTGTCTTCATCCACTGCAGTGCACCTTGATGCGAATGCTGAAATGTAAAAAGTAGTGTGCCTTAAGAGTAATAAAATGTGCTGTTAGCTGTGTGATATTTCTGCTTGTTTGGGGGCCACACCTGGGGATGAATGGCGAACAATGGGGATACTGGGGATTGAACCTGGGTTGGTCTGGTGCAAGACAAGTGCCCTACCTGCTGGACTATCTCTCCAGTCCTCTAGCTGTGTGATCTTAAGCAGTGTGAGTTTAATTCATTTACACTTTGACCTCCAAGTTTGCCATTTGGAAATTAGAGACAAGAATACTTGGGGCCAGAGTAATAAATAGTACAGTGGGTAGGGCGTCTGCCTTGCATGCGTCCGACCCGGGTTCAATCCCTGGTGTTCCCTGGAGTAATTCCTGAGTGCAGAGCCAGGAGGAACTCCTGAGCATTACCGGATGTGACCAAAAAGAAGATTTAAAAAAGTGACAAGAATTATAACTTTTGTCCAATACTGTTAAATTGGTTGGTTTGGGGGCCACACCCGGCTGTGCTCGGGGTAGACTCCTGACTGCACGCAGTGATCACTCCTGGCAGGCTCGGGGAACCCTAGGTGGTGTCGGGGGTCAAAGCCGGGCTGGCTGCGTGCAGAGCGCCCCCCAGACTGTTACACACGAGTGGAATCGTGTGTTCCAACGGGAATGGAAACAGCGCCCATGGTATCTTTCCAAGGAGCTGCCCGCCAGTGACGGGCAGTGTCGAAAGGAAAAGGCGCTTGCAAGAGGCGACCACGGAGAGGACGTGCAGTCCGGACTCGGGGCTGCACCGCCGACTGCGGCGCGCGTCCCCGTCCGCGCGCGCCTCTCGCTCGCCTTTCCCACGGGTAACGAGCGCCGCCTACCGGCCGGCCGCCCCACGGCGCCCAGGCCCCGCCCCCGGGGCGAGTCGCGCACGCGCCGCCGGTTCTTTTCCGCCCTCGCCCGCGGGCTTCTCGCGACAGCCGCCCCGGCGGCCGCCTGGTTCTCGCGATAAAGGCTCATTGTCTCGCGAGAGCGCGTCCGGCTGACGGGCTCTCGGGCGGCCGCGGCCGGCGCAGAGGAGCTGCATGTGTCGCTCCGGTCGGCGGTAGTGGCGGGAGCGGCGGCGGCGGCGGCGGCGGGGGCTGTGTGACCGCCCGGGTAAAGACCCCTCGTGGCTCCCCCCGCTCCCGAGCGGCGAGCAGGGCGCGTGGCCCCGGCTGGGTGCTGCCCGCGAGGGGGCCGGGCCGGGCGTCCGCACGCCCCCGCCCACATGGGCCCCGGGCTGCCCCGCGCGGCCGGGCCCTCGGCGCCGCGGCCCCCCGCGCCCCCCGGCTGCCCCTCTCCCCGCGGGCGCCGCGGCCTCCCCTCCCACGTGTCCCGGCCTCCGTGCATCCCTCGCAGACGCCCGCGTGCCCCCCGCGCGGCGCCCCCCCAGTCACCCCTGCCTTCCCCGGTGCTCCCCGAGGCCTCCCGCCCCCCGCTGCTCTGCAGCCCCGGGAGCGTCGCGTCGCGTCCGCCTGCCCCCGCCTCCTCTCCGCGACAGAGACCTGCCCAGACGCGGGGGCTGCCGGGGGAGGGAGGAGGCGGGGTGGCAGCCCCCCGGGCCGGGCCGCGACGGTGAGCGCCTCTCCCTGCCTGCCTGCAGGTGCGCGCGATGGCGGCTGACATCTCGGAATCCGGCGGGCAGGAGTGCAAAGGCGACCCGAGCCCCGGCCTGGACGGCGAGTACCCGCTCCGCGTCCTTTACTGTGGAGGCAAGTGTGCTGGAAGGCCTGTCCTGGGGGGGCGCGCCGGCCCTGCCCACCCGGCGGCAGCCTCACGGTATTGGAACGCCTTGTGATCCTCCTAGTTCAGTGCTCCTCTTTGCCCTTGGGTGAACTTTCGACCCAAAGGAGGGGCCAGAGAGTGGCGCGGGCACGTGGGTTCACAGGTTTTGCTGTTCCCCCCCCCAAATTCTGCGACTTGCCAGGTGGCCTTGAGAAATTTACAGTTCACTTGGGGGAGAGAGAGAGACTGGCAGCGGGTTCTTACCAGCCCCGTGTTACTGCCAGCCTCGCATGATGCTTCCTGGGAGATGCCAGGTTGTGAGACGTAGAAGAGCCGAGTTGAGGAAGCCAGGAGCAGCGTTGCAGATGGAGGCTTGGTCGTCTCAGTGGAGAAGTGAACAGCTTTGTCTTCCTGTAGTGTCCAGCCAGGGAGCAGGCCAGGACGGCGGGAGAGTTGATGAGGACAGTCTTGGGGAAGGCTTCTTGGTATGGGGTGTGTGTGTGTGTGTGTGTGTGTGTGTGTGTGTGTGTGTCGGGGATGGGAAGATAGCAGGGAGGGCACTTGGCCTTGCACTCAGCTTACTCAGGTTTGAGCCCTGGTGGTCCCCTCACCTCCAGAGCCAAGAGTAGCCCTGGAATCAAGGGTGGTGTTTGTCCTTTGAACACCCTCTGAGACTCTTCCCTCATCAATCAAATGATTGCAATGCCAAAGAAATAGAACAGGGGTGAAGGTGCATACCTTGCATGTGGCCAGCCCCAGTTCAATCCCTAGGCACCACTGGGGTGATCTGGGCAATCCCTGGCATGGCAGGGTCTGAGCAGTGCCGCATCCTTGTTGAACTGCCAGTCCAGTTGGCTGAGAATTGTTGGAAAAGGTTCCCTGAGCATCATTCGGGCCTGCCTTTCTACTATCCCCCCTCCCCCCCCAAAAAAGATACTTTGGTTGGCTTTGGGAAAGCAAGGGTCACACCAAATGGTGCTGGAGGCTGCCCCCAACTCAGTACTCGGGTTGCTCCTGGCAGTGCTCAGGACCATATGGTGCTGGGTGAACCTAGTCCTTCGGCATACAAAGCATATGTTCCTGCCCGGTGAGCTGCTCACCGCCCCAGTCATGCATTTACAGTGCTCCATCCAGTTTTATTAGCGTCTCAGGACTCTGTTGTTCCTTTTATTGGCGAAGGGGGTGGGGGCGGGACACATTCTACTGTGCTCACAGCTCTCTCTTAGCTCTGCTCAGGGATCACTCCTGGTAGGGTCCAGGGTACCTCATATGTGGTGCCAGGGATGGAACCAGGGTCAGCCAAAAGCAAGTGCCCTGCCTGCTGTACGATCGTCTCTGACCCCTTTCAGTAAACCCTTTCCATGTATCTAGCGATTTTTAAAAAATAAGTCAGAAAAGATTATTGTTCTTGGGAACCTTGTTTTGTGACAATATCAAATACTGTTTTAGAAGGAGAGATGAAGTGTCACTGCGTTAAAAAATACATATATATATATATATACACACATATAAGCTCAGGATCAGGAAATGGACTCGTGCAGGACCTGAGCGTTGACTGGTGCATTCCCAGAGCCTCTGAGCACGGCTGGGTGTCTCTTGAGCCCGTCCATTGAACTGCTGGCCATTCCCCCCCTTATCTTTTTTATATACATATATAAGCTCTTTTTTGATTATCCTTTTTCGGTGAGGGACAGGAACACCCAGAAGTACTTAGGGCTGATACCCGGTTCAGTGCTCAGGAATCACTTCTAGGTGGTTGGGGGGACCAAATGGGATGCCGGAGATTGAAACCGGATGACATGTAAGGCCAGAACTTTATCCTCTGTACTCTCTCTCCAGCCCGTGTTGAGTATTTTTGATAGTAGATTGGAATTACATTGCATTAGCTCATGAAGAGAGTAGGTGGGGAAACTTCATAGGATTAAGTTTTGACAGGCTTGTGTGTTTCTGTTCTTGGCCTTTTTGAGTCAGGATGATTTGCATGCTGACTGCAGAACTTATCAGATATGTGACCTCGGACAAATGACGTAATTTTTCTTAGTATTAGAGGTCTTAGTTCTGTAAAATCAGATAATTCTTACATCTTAAGTCATGAGTGGAATAAAGCGCTAATGCAGCAGCTCACACAGGAATATCATTTAATAAACTTGAAGCAGCGTGATTTGTTCATTCTTATTTGTCAGATGGAATTTAAAATGACTGTTCTTGTACTCTTTCTTTTAAACTTAGAATCCATGTTTTTAAAGATATATCATTATTTTAGATTTAACAAAGAAAGTAAGCAGCATGGAATTGGACAGGAAGCTCAGTGGCCTGGAACACTTGCTTTGCGTGTAAGATTCTTTGAGCACCAAGCCAGAGTAGCTTCTGAGCGCTTGCGTGTGGTCCAAAAATGAGAACAAAAGTCAACATTGTGCCAGACAAGAATGGAATACAGAAAGAACTTGAGAGAATAAAGAAAGAACTACTTGAAAGAACTGGGGGGAAAAGTTATGTTTGCCTATATTGTTTTATTTAATCCCTGCAACAACTCATTCTGAAATGTTTGGGTTATGTAAGTGGGGATTCTGAGATAAAAGTTTCTGGGGTTTTGAGTTTTTTCTTTGGTCTGGTTTGGGTTTGTAGGCACACCTGGCGGTGCTCAGGGATCACTCCTAGTGGACTTGGGACCATACGGGATGCCAGGAATCAAGTCTGGGTTGGTTGTGTGCAAAGCAGATGCCCTACCTGCTATACAATTGCTCCAGCCCAAATTAAAGTTTAAGACAAGGGGCTGGAGTGATAATACAGCGGTAGGGCTTTTGCCTTGCATGCAGCCAGCCTGGGTTCGGTTCCCAGCATCCCATATGGTCCCCTGAGGGTGAGTGCAGAGCCAGGAGTAACCCCTGTGCATCACTGGGTGTGACCCAAAAAGCCAAAAAGAAAAAAAAAGACAAGCTTTATTGTAACAACTTCGGGGAACCTTCATGAAGTAGTGACGGATTGAACAGATGATGGAGTGCAGATAAGGTGTTGTAAAATTAGTAATCTGGTTATTGATACAGGATTGGGTTTTTTTGTTTGTTTTGTTTTTTTTCCGGTACCTGGGGGAGGGCACACCTGGCAGTGCTCAGGCTCCCAGGGGTCACTCCTGGCAGGCCTCTAGGGATCATGTGGGGTGCTGGAAATCGAACCTGGTGCATGGCAAGTGCCCTCTCCACTGTACTATCTCTCAGGCCTCCAGGCCAGTGTTTCTTGAGGAAACAGTGAATGGGTTAGATCTTTAGTTGTTGAACCGATTAGAATAGTTGGGGCATAAAGAGCAACATGTCAAAAGTTGTATGGCTAAAGGACCTGTAGCTTATTTGAAGAACTTCAGAAGGGGGGGGCTGTAATAACACAGATAGGAGTGATTGGAAATGGGGCTGGGGGAATTGCAGGAGCAGGCAGGCAGGCCCTCTCTAGAGTGCGTTAAGTAGTTCCATCTTGGTCCTAAAAGCCTAAGAGCTTAGGATGTCTTGGTTGAAAAGATGACTTGCTTTCTGGAGGGTTATTGATTATGCATTATGATAAGTGGGAGGTCAGGAAGCAGTTTTCATTGTTTAGGGAGATACTTAGATTCTGATGAGGTTGGGGATTGGATAAGGCTTAAAAAATGACAGTTGAGGGACTGGAGTGATAACAGCGGATAAGGCATTTTCCTTGCATGTGATCAACTGGGGTTCAATTCCCAGCATGCCATATGGTCCCCTGAGCACCGCCAGGAGTGATTCCTGAATCCAGAGCCAGGAGTAACCCCTGTACAAAGCCAGGTATGACCCCCCCAAAAAAAATGCAAAAAAAAAAAATTACAGTTGATAATGGATTGACTTAAATATTGGAGAAGAAAGTTGGAGATGACTTACTAGATTTCTGGGGATATGGCTCTTTGAGCTTTATGGGCAAGGTTGTGATAGAACATTGAGGTGTTTTTTTGTTTTTTATTTTTGACTGTAGAAAAGAAAGAAGTACGAGAGTATATTCAGGCTAGTAGTGCCTAAGAATATGAAGGAGGTAGGTGAAAATACGGTCTCCACGCACCTATTTTACCTAGATCCGGGGTTCCAATCTGGGAAGGATGCAGAAGATCACTGGCATGTTATGAGAAGGAGCTTTTCTTCCTTTGAGGATGGGGGGCCACAAACATCTGCTCAGCCTCACTCCTGACCGCTCGGGATGGTCCCTGACAGGCTCAGTACAGTATTGGCCAATTGTGAGGCAAGGGTGATGCCCCTGAACTAGCCCTCTGGCCCCGAGAAGGAGCGTTCACGAAATGCCGCTGGAATTTGTAGGAATCACACTACTTTCCTGGACGCAGCCAACCTGTGTTCAATCCCTGGCATCTCATATTTCCCAGTACCATTAGGAGTGAGCCCTGAGCCCTGCTGGGTGTCGCCCACATCAGCGAAAGTAAATATGTTTTTAAAAAATAATAATTTTGATTATATCAAACTCAGGAATTCTGACCAAAAATAACAAGACAAAAGAGCTTCTGAATTGAAGTATAAAAAAGTATTAGTAATTGGACTAAGAGAACTGTTTGTTTAACATTTCTTTATATTTAGGAACTTTATAATCTCGGAGAGCCCGGCAAGCTGCCGAGAGTATTCAATATGCCAAACACAGTAACAACAAAGTCTCCAATGGAGACGTTACTGGGCCCGCTCGAGCAAATCGACGATCAACGGGAGGGCCTTTACCTTTACCTTATAATCTCTTAAGTTAGAGCAATAATGAATGGTGCTTGTTTTGGCTGTCTTCCCAAACAAGCTCTGTAGTAGAATAGTTATTTATCCTCATTCCTGTTTTTGGGGGCTCAGCAGCGTATTTGTGTTTAAGCTCATTTAGGTTGCTGGGGTCTTAGTGTTACTGAGTGACATTCAGAACTGGAGATGGTGTACGGATAAGATGCTTGCCAGTTCCCTACTGCCAGGAGGAGCCAGAGCACTGCCCGTTACGGCCCATTCTCATCCAAATGAAAGAGAACAGTGAAGTTAGTATTTAGTGGGTATAAAGTTTGGGATGATGAGAAATGTTCTGGAGAACGAGGTGATAGTGAATGAGTTAACCATACGCTTAAAAATGGTTAGAACGGTAATTTTATGCTACATATATATTTACCATAATAAACAGTTGTTTGCAAAAAATGTCAGTGTGTGTGTATACACGCACGCACAGATACACAATAGGAATTTACTATAAAGCAAAAGCCTATTTTCTTTTTTTGGTTTGGTTTTGCTTTTTGGCCAACCTGGTGGTGCTTAGGGCTTCCTCCAAGACATGTACCTTAACCCTTGTACTGGCTCCCTGGCTTCTCGTTTTCTACTTGATTTTGGCTGTGGGTGAAGGTGGCTGGGGACCCTTGTGGTGTCCTCGGCCTCCCTCATGCAAAGCTGTTAAGCTGTCTCTCCAGTCCCCAAAACTTAAAAATATGCTACAGTAAACACCTGTATACTAAGATCAAAATTTAAACAATGAACAGGTTGTCTGTGGATGGGAGGGAGGGTGAACATAGTTCAGATTCACAGAGAGGTTTGGAGAATATAATACAAAAAAATTCTTACGTATCTTTCATCCGTATCCCCTCTGGACTTAGCAGTGTTTCTGGGCGATGCTGATTTTGATCGTTTGGTTCGGGTGATGCCTGCCAGGCTTCTCCTCTACAGAGTTGCTGTTTTGCTCTTGCCTTTCACTGGCATCTCATGTGGCCCCTAACCCCCAGGAGTGACCCCTGAACTCAGAGCCAGGTAGAAGCCCTGCGCACCACCAGGTGTGGCCCCCAAACGGAACATACCATAAAAAACTTCCCTTTGTGAGTCAGGAAATTTCCTCATAGGCGCTGCACAGGAGCCTTCAACGCCAGCGCTCCCCCAGTATTGTCAGGAATGACCCAAAAAGAAACAAAAAGTTAAAAAGGGTATCGTTTTGTTTTGGTGCACAGGGCTTGCGTCTGTCTCTGAACTCGGGTATCACTCCGTGGTGAGGCTCTAGGGACCATCTGGGGTGCCGGGGTCGTGCCCAAGTCAGCAGTATGCAAGGCCAGCGCCCACCCACTGCACTGTTGCTTCAGCCCCAAGAACAAATGTCTCATGAAAATACTTAGTGATCTCTGGTTTTACTGATCTGTTGGGGTGCGTTCCTGTGATTGGCGAGTGGTGACCCAACAGATCGGACCCTGCCGTAGGTGCATTTGTAGTTGTTATTCTTTTGCAGGGCGGAGGGAAGGGATTTTGAGCTACACCCAGCAATTCTGGGGGCTGCTCCCAGCTCGGTGCTGAGACCCCTGGGTGCCAGTGGAACCTTTAGTGCCCTCAGGCAAGGCAATGCCTTAGCCCTGGTACAGACCCCGTTAGTTGGTTTTCTGCTTTTAGAAGTAACTTTCTTTTCTGTTTTTATCAGTGTGGTCTCAAATCTTGTTGTACAGTCAGTCATTTTGGGGGGAGGGCAGATATAACGTAGCAGGCCTTAGGGGCTCGGGCTCCTGCAAGTGAAGAGTGTCCTTTGAGCCATCTCTCTGGCCCCATCATTTCTCTTTCACCTCGAAAATATTGGGTGGGGTGGGAGGGGCAGCTGCTGAAGAGCTAGAACAGAGGGTAAGGTGCTGCCCTGGCAGAGGGCCAACCCTGGATTGGTCGCTAATGTTACATAGAGTCCCCCAAGTACCAGGGAATAAGCCCTCAGCCCTGAGTGCTGCCAGGAATGGCCCCAAAACACAAATTTTTTAATTTCTAAAGTTTGATTTTTATCGTTTAGGCCACATCTTTGTACTGGTTTACGGTTTGGTTTTTGTTTTGTTTGGGGGTATTCCTGGTAGTGCTTGGGGGACCGTGTATGGTGCCAGGGATTGAACCCGGGTCAGCTGTGTACCAGGCAAGTGCCCTACCTGCTGTACTCCAACTCCTAAAAAACATTGATACAGAGAAAATTAAAAACGAAGATTTGTGGGACTGGAGCGATAGCACAGCGGGTAGGGCGATTGCACGTGACCGACCCAGGTTAGATTCCCAGTATCCCATATGGTCCCCTGAGCACTGCCCAGAGTAATTTCTGAGTGCATGAGCCAGGAGTAACCCCTGTGCATTGCTGGGTGTGACCTAAAAAGCCAAAAAAAAAAAAAAATTGAAGATTTTTAAGTAAGTTTATGATAAAGTCTTTTCTTTGTGTATATATCTTTACATTTTTTCCCCTTTATTTCCCCAGTTTGTTCATTACCAACAGAGGTAAGTGCTTTTAAAATTGATTTTCTTTTTTAATTTTTTGCATGGGGGAGGTGTTATTAATTTCAGAGCTAGCTTAGGAACTTTATTCTTAATTTTCATATTGTCATTTGCTAGCTCTTCAGGTCTTAATTTTATATAAATTTATGGACTGAAATTGTTTTCTTTGGATTTTGAGGCATGTGTGTACATCTTTTATACTTGGTGATGTATGGTTGGATTTTTACATGGAGCTCATGAATGTTGAGGTTATGAAACAAGAATAACTTTAAAGCCGAAGTGTATACAGAAGTAAAGGGAAAACATAAAACAAACTTTGGAATAAAGTTCTTCTAATAAGCTAGGTTATACTCCGGGCACGTCAGGAAAATGATGAGATCTGGGGCCGGAGTGATAGTGCATTAGGCAGGGCTCTTGCCTGACACGCAGCTGACCTGGGTTTGATCTCAGTATCCCATATGGTCTCCTGTGCACCGCTGGGTGTGATTCTTGAGTGGAGGGCCAGGAGTAACCCTTGAACATCTCTGGGAGTGGCCCAAAACCAAAAGAAAACAAATGAGACCTTGATGAACCCAAAGCAAAATACAGAAACACTTGCTCAGGGGAGAATGGGGGGGGGGGGGGTCGGAGAAACTCTTGTTCATTTGTTTTTAAAAGCCCTCCTTTGATAGGCAATTACTGTAGTGAGGAGCTACCCAGTCCTTACTAGTTGTAGTTCTTTCAGTGGTGTTTTCTGGAGGGGTGGATATTTCAAGTGTATGGAACCATTCATTGTCAGTAATGAGTGAGATCATTCTTAGCAAATAAAGGGGATGGTTTTTAACTGAAGTGTATGATTGTGACTGAACTTGTTTCCTCTCCCCGCCAGTACTGTGAATATATGCCCGATGTTGCTAAATGCAGACAGTGGTTAGAGAAGAACTTCCCAAATGAGTTTGCAAAACTTACCGTAGGTATGAAATTTTTTTTGTCAGAACTTAATGTAGAAATGCATGTAAATCATTATTTTTGAAGATAGAAAAGTCCTTTTGTATGAAAATACAAATACCCAACTGTTATCAACTGTATATTAACTTTAAAATGACTCAATTCTCAGGTTAAAATTCCTCGTGTGGCATGACATGGTTTCAGCTGTCTTACCTCTTCCAGCCAAATAGGTCAAAGTATCAACTTTGTTCTTGTGTAAAGAAGAGTAAATGATTTAGGGCAAATATGGTTTCACTAATTTGCTCAACAAATTATTGTTAAGCTATGCTATGTACTGTACAGTTTTAGATGTTGAGGATAAAGCAATACAAAAAGGTCTGTTCTTAGGCCATTGCTTCTTGAAGGGGTGACGAAATAAATGAATCAGGTAAAGGTAAGGTAAAGGTAAAGGCCCTCCCGTTGATCGTCGATTTTGCTCGAGCGGGCCCAGTAACGTCTCCATTGGAGACTTTGTTGTTACTGTGTCTGGCATATCGAATACTCGGTAGCTTGCCGGGCTCTCCGAGAGGGGCGGAGGAATCGAACTCGCGTCGGCCATGTTGGCCGCGTGTAAGGCGAACGCCCTACCCGCTGTGCTATCGCTCCAGCCCTAAATGAATCAGGTAGTATGCTAAATTAGTGGTAAGCGTAAGCCTAAAACGGGGAGGTCAGGCTGTTGGGGCTAAAAATACAGTATTTGAACATAGAGCCCCCGGAAGTGAGGCGGGAATCATTTGGATGTCTCGGAGAACATTCCAGGTGGATGACATGGCCTGCACAAAGGCCCTGAGGCAGACGCTTACCAGCTGTTTGGGATATAGCTGGAGACTTGCATTTTAGGGCTGGTCGAGGAGGAAGGGCAAGAGATGAAGTCAGACGCAGAGTGATGTGGGGCTCTCTCAGGAGTGTGGTAAGCAAGAGAGAGGGTCTGACTTCCATTTCCACAGCAGCTCTTTGCTCTGTAAAGAAGAGAATGGAGAGGCCGCCCAAACAGCAACTTGGGAATGGATGGGGTTTTCCGTGCTAATGGGCTGTGTCCACTGTAGCAGAGGCTACCTGTGGAGTGGGGGCCGCATCCAGTGCTGGATATGCAACTGACATTGTGTCTGAAGAGTGTGAGGAGTGAGGGGTGAGAGAAACAGATTTGCGGGATTTGGACCCAGATAACTAGGATAATGGAGTGGGAGTAGCCAAGAAAATTGAGGAATTTGCAAACAATGGCTTAACAGATTGGTAAAAATAAAGGGAGAAGTTGGAAGAGCCACCCCTGGACAGGTTGTGGAACAGCCCTCTCGTGCCCAGTGTTCACACTCCACGTGAGGTACAAACTCCAGACTTGGGCGGATCCTTCTTGAGGGGTAGCTTCTCACTCACTGCCAACTGCCTGGATCAGAACCCACAAGCTAGTGTGACAGCCCTCTGCGTGGTCAGCCCTGAACGGGTCTTGCCGTGCTAGGCCGGGAAGCACTTACACACAGATCAGTATATTTCGATCCAAAACACTTTTCGCTCCTTTCAATCCTAAACCTCAGTGAGAAGACTTTGTTTTGTCCGCTTGCATGATACACTTGCAATGACAGATATGGTGTCGCGGTATATTTTGTTGAGAATCATTGCTTCTGTGTTTATAAGTAAAGTATATCATTTACTTTTATAATTAGCATAAAGTGATGGCATTAACTTTTGGATTTTGTTTTTAATATCTAGAAAATTCACCCAAACAAGAAGCTGGAATTAGTGAGGGACAGGGAACGGTAGGGGAAGAAGAAGAGAAAAAAAAACAAAAGAGAGGTGAGATTTAAATTCATCGTTTTATTTATACAAACATACCTTATCACTGTTAATTAAAACAGCCTCCATCATCCTGTAATACCATACGTATGTCGTACCTAAGAATATGATAAAGAATCATAGTCTTAGGATTGTTGGATGCCGTGTGATTTCACCTTTGAGTAGAGTGGACCTAAGAAAGCAAGTTGGGTTTGGGGAGGGGTTTCAAAGTAGGGCCTTGGCTTTAATCCTTGGTACCACGTGGTTCTCGTACTGCTAGAAGCCTTCCAAAAAGAAAGAAAACACATTCTACTTGCCCAGCACGTAGTAAGGTACGTTGCTAAAAAGCAACTGGCTAGCTTATTTTATGACTCAAACTGGGGAGGGTGGATTTGGGGCCACCCGGGTAACTCCTCAGGGCATACTTGTGGCTCATGCGTCTCTCCTGGTGGTCTTGGGGAACCACGTGGGGCGTCATGATTGAACCAAAGTTAGCACCAAATGTACTGCTAGGGTACTCTGCGTGTACCCTGCCCACTAGACCGTCCCCCGCTCCAGAATGCCACCTCTTCCCTGTTGTTACCCCTACCTGGGAGAGCCCTTCCTTCACTGCCTTCCTGCTGCACCTTCACATTTCCTTATTTTGCACAGACCAAAATTAGATGTCATTTCCTCAGGATAACCTTTCTGTTCTGGAAGGTAACGAAGCAAACTGTCTGCCTTCTGCAAAACCTCTGCGGGTACCTTATTCTTGGATTTAGTTTTAAGCATCTATCACACGTTTTAAATGAAACGATTAATACTGAGATATTTCTTAATTAGGTGGAAGGGGTCAAATTAAACAAAAAAAGAAGACTGTACCACAGAAGGTTACAATAGCCAAAATTCCCAGGGCAAAGAAGAAATATGTAACAAGAGTGTGTGGCCTTGCAACCTTTGGTGAGTTCATGTTTAAGTGTGTGTAAAATGTGTGAACTGTTTTCTATCCTACTTACGTGAAAATGTTTTGAAAAGCTGAGATTTTTTGGTTAGGTTTTTGTGGTGCTCAGGGCTCACTCCTGGTGGGCTCAGGGGACCATTTAGGGTCCCAGGGATCTACCCTGGGTCATCCATGTGCAAGGCAAGTTCCTTGCCTGCTGTTCTATCCCGCCATCCCAGTTTTATTTACAAAGGGCTGGGGCTGTGGCCGTACCACTCTGAACACTCCCCATCTCATTTGCTCTTAGAAGCTAAGCAAGGTTGGGCCTAGTTTATACTTGGATGGGAGAAAGAGTTGGGGTATGGGGGTGCAAGAAAGAGTACAGCCCCGGGGTGGCGGGGGTAGTGATGGGAGGGAAACTGGGAACATCGTTGCAGGGAAATGTACCCTGGTGGACGGATGGGTGTTGGAACACTGTAAGTAAAGTAAGTAAGTAAAGGCCCTCCCGTTGATCATCGATTTGCTCGAGCGGGCCCAGTAACGTCTCCACTGGAGACTTTGTTGTTACTGTGTTTGGCATATCGAATAGTCACAGGGAGCTTGCCAGGCTCTGCCGTGCGGGCGAGATACTCTCGGGTGCTTGCCGGGCTCTCCGAGAGGGGCGAAGGTCGGCCATGTTGGCTGCGTGCAAGGCAAATGCCCTGCTGCTGTGCTATCGCCCCAGCCCTGTATGACTAACCAAATTATGAGCAGCTTTGTAAAGCTCTATCACGGTGATTCAGTGATAAAATCTTTTTTAGGAAAAAAAAGAAAAAAATAGTGCAGCCCAGCTTTCACTTGATATGGTTTGATTCCCAGCACCAGTGGTCATCCAGTACTGCTGGGCCAGCCTGAGGATCCCGGCACTGCGGGGTCCAAGAAGCATCACGTTTTCATGCTAAACTGATGACCTAGATGGCTGAGAATTGCTGGAGGAACCCCCGTGATTTCCTCAGCACCACTAGAGAGTCCCCCTCTCCCCCCAAAAGGGATAAGGTCCAGGGGAACATGTGCCTTGCATATGTGAGACCCTGGGTTCCGTACCCAATATCGCAAAAGTAAAAGGGGGGCGTAGAGAGTATAGTGATGACCTTTGCCAAGAAGATCGCTCAGTGGGAGAGCGCTTGCCTTGCCTGTGTGAAACCCAGGGGTCCACCCTGTCACACAGCCACAAAAAATGAATACTGTAAGGCTGGAGCGATGGTCCAGTGGGTAGAGCACTTGCCTTGCATGTGGCTGACCTTGGATTGATCCGCAGCACCACATAAGATCCCCTGAGGTCCTGCCAGGAATAATTCCTGAGTGGGAAAGCAGAAGTGAGTCCTGAGCACTGCCGGTTGTGAGCCCCAAACAAAATGAATAGGGATAAACATTTTAAAATAACTTGCTATACTTTAAGTGTAATGTTTGGAATTACTTGTACTACACTGATTCTGATCTTGCTGTGTGAACTATGTATAGTATAACATGCTATTTTGTGTACTTATGCTTTGGCTTCCAAAATACCAAAATACTGTTACTGGTATAGAATGTCAAAAAGAGCTGGAGAGATGCTACAGCAGGTAGGGCATTTGCCTTACTCATAGCCAATCCAGGTTTGATCCCCAACATCCTGTATGACTACCCAAGCACTGCCAAGAGTGATCCCTGAGTGCAGAGCCAGTATTAAAACCTGAACACTGTGAAGTATGGCCCCAAAAAGCAAAAAGTGAAAAGTAATTGAAATATTAAGATCATTACCTTTCATAGTTTATAATTATTGTTCTGGAAAGAATATTACATTTTTTGTTTTGTGAATTTAAATGCGCATTAAACTTGGAAATGGAAAAAGATCTTGATGTACAGTTCCAACTATAGTCTTGTATTTTTTGTTTTGTTTTGTTTTTAAGAAATTGATCTTAAAGAAGCACAAAGATTTTTTGCTCAGAAATTCTCCTGTGGTGCCTCAGTAACAGGGGAGGATGAAATCATCATTCAGGGAGACTTTACAGATGATATAATTGATGTCATTCAGGAAAAATGGCCAGAGGTAAGACTCACTGGACCCTTGTAGACGTGTGTTTTGAAGTTGCTTTCCTATTATTTGAAGCCCAATTCATGATTTAATTACCTGTATTTTGTAGGTGGATGATGATAGCATTGAAGATCTTGGAGAAGTGAAGAAGTGATTTGGAATATTTGTCTGTATTTTGATCTGAACTGAGAGTTGATATGGCCAAAGGGAGAGAGGCCTTTCAAAATATATATATTTATCCTACAGTGAAACTGTAGGCTACCCTCACCGTTGGCATTTTCACTGTTCTGTACAAGGCTGCTTGTTTTTTTTTATTGCCAAAGTCTAATAAACAGGGGAGACTGTCATGCTTATGCATGAAATAGAATTTAGTCAAATAAAAATTTCTGGTCATTTGGTACTGACTTTTTCCTCTCTTCTTAACTTTTTATTTTTGGAAAAACAAATAGATGTTTTGTGGAAAGGTTTTCTGTTGAAAACAATCATAATTTCATCAAACCATGGCTTTGAAGCTGAGTACTATTTTGAAGACTTGAATTTGGCTTCCTCACCAGTAATCATTGTCCCCTTGCTGCTTTGGTGTGAGTTCAGAGATGCTTGAGCATCTGAGACATATGTGGTTGAATTTGCTTCATTGATTGCAACCACATCCACTCTGTGGATACATTTAACGTACTGTTGGAGTTCTTCAGCTCTTCTGGAGATGATTTGGTATAGTATATTAAAAGCCTTAAAACCTTCTGCACTGTTTGTTTGACTCAGTAAGCCACTGCATTGACGTCCAAAAGAAATCACGGGGAGAATCCGTTTAAAGGGTGTTCATCACAGTGCCACTCATACGGAAACTGCACACGATATAAATGAACAAATGGGAATTGATTGAAGACATGATGGAGCATTACATGTTAGACTATTATGTATATATATTTAAAAATATTTTCCAAGAATTCTTGGAAACATGTTTGGTAACGTTTCCCTGGGGGGGCACACACCAACGGCATTTTATACATTATTGTTTTGAATGGAAAACCATTCAGAGAAGCTCAGTTCTTGACTGGCTATATATTATGTGAGTAGAATTCTGCTAACCAATAAAATAATACACATGTATGCTCAATAGATAGTCTGGGAAAGAGTAATTGGAACAAAATTTTCTCATAAGAAAAACAATGAATGCATTAGGTGACTTTAGATTTTGTTTTTATAAAGGTCTTAAGTGCTACAAGTTGAAAAGATTCACTGTATTTCAAATTGCTATAGATTTTAGAACCCATTGTTTTATCGCCATGCAAATTACAGTCTTGGATGAATGTTCTTTTTGAATAAAATCTTAGGAAAATGTAATTAAAATCTGAATGAAATGAAATCTGCTTTAACTGAATTTTACTAAATAATGTTATCTGGTTAACAAATGGATCCATCAAGACCATTTGGTATGTGTTATGTATGTATTCTGTCAGTGCTGGAAGATGTCTGTGTGCCTGTTAAATACGTGTAAGATTCTTAATGTTCACAGTTCTTGGCAAAGCGATTTCAGTTCATATATAACCAGCAGTGGATGCTACTGCAGGAAAATGCAGGATTAAAATTGTCCTTGTGTATAACGTGTGTGATTTTTTTCTTTGCCCTGAAATTTTAAGTGCAGCATAATGAAAAAGGATGAAATCATTCCTTTTGCTGCTGCGGGTATGGATTTGGAGTGTTATGCTGAGTACAGTTGGGAGAATACACAGAATGCTCTCTCACATTCTCGGGATGTAATAACGCCTTGTAGGGAATAATGAATCCTAAAGGCAACAGAAACTGAGAACTGGTCTTCAGTAGAAAGCTTGCCGTGGGGGCAGGGGTGTGTGGTGAGTGTGTGTGCTGGGCTGGGGGGGAGGGTGTGAAGTGGACACTGGAGAATGTGGTGTGGAATAGTGGCTGTTAGAAATCCTACCATTAACAATATTATAAACCTTGGTGCCTAAATAAAATTTTAAATGCTGGGGCTGAAGTGATTACAGTACTGTAGGAGCTTCGCTTGGCACTTGATCAACCCAGGTTCCATCCCCAGCATCCCATATGGTCCCCCAAGTACTGCCAGGAGTAATTCCTGAGTGCGGAGCTAGGAGTCACCGCTGAGCACCTCCAAAATAACATGCAACGCACTTTAATCTGATTAAAAGTGATAAGGGTGGACTTGAATACCTACATTAATGATTTCACAATCTAGTAATATTTTTACAAGAAAATATTAACCTTCTCCAAATACGTCAGAGATTTGCCGTGATTAAACTGGCAACTTCAAGTAAGAGTTGACAACTACTTGAGCAACAGCTTGGGGCCACTGATTACCTCCTCCCATATAAATCTGTTTTACTTTTAACTCCTCTAAAACTTCATAGACTGCAGTGATTGAGTCAACACATTGGGTATGTTACACATATGATATACTGTGTTCTCTGAATAAAATAAGATATACTTGCTGATAAGTTTATTATCTATTTATGAGGAAAGGTTTCCCTTTATATGAACTCTGGCTTAAACCTGTGACGTTCGGAAGTGAACTCTGGCTCCAAGATACAGTGTTTCAATTGCAAAAGCAAATGTGCTAACAAAGGGAGATGGGTTCAGCCAGGGGTGTGCTCCGAGGTGGAGGGCAGTCCTTGCATATTCGAAGCCTGGGCACAGCCCTGACCCCCAAACTACAAAGCCCTCCTTTTAAAAATTCTGTTTGTGTTTGGGCCACTTTTGGCTGATGGGGTAGTGGGGGGGTCACTGCAAGGTGTCAGACTGAACCAGGCATCCTGGATGCAAAGCTAAGAGATATTTTGCCCTGCTCCCCGAACCCTCCTTTACATAAAAGCCTCAATAAATCAGCTTTTTCCTAACGTCTAATCCGTGGGAGCCCAAGGAGGTGGCTTAGAGGACCAGAGCCCTTAGATGCAGGAGCCACAAAGTATTCCCGGACACCACCAAGGAAAAGAATTCGATCCCTGGGCTTTCTTGACCTTGTTTACAAAGCTGATACACAATTTCAAGACTGCTGTTCCTCCTTTCGGTTGAGGGATAATAGATGGAGCCTGGAGTGAATGTTAATTCCTCAGTTTGGGTTAGACTGAGTGTAAAACGCTGTGTAATTCTTGCACCCTTCATAAAATACTGTGTTTTGTAAAACATTTTCAATTACATTCTAAAACTGGGAAGGTAACTTGCAAGTTTGAGATTTTATTTGCAACTAGTCATAATTCTCAGACTAATAATTGCATAGTCAGCCGCCTTTTCTACTTGGGCAGTGGATATGGATATGTTCTTGTCATTTTAGGGCTTCCTAGGAAAGTTCCACAGTAGTGAAAATCGAGAAGTATGTGATTTACTTCTCAAAGCGCCTCAATTCAAAAATTAACATCTGGTGAGATTTTTTTTTTCTTATTCTACCACTAAGACTTCCTGCCTAATCATCCGGTTACATTCTTGTCCGAATTTAAGTTTTCCAAATCTCAGGCTGTCTTTTGTGAATAACAAGATTTGGCTCGTTCTTCTACAAAAAAAGTATAATCAAAATACTGTCTGGTTAAACGTTATTGAAGATTTTTTAGTCCTTGAAAAGTAAAAGGGACCCGAGGGTGGTGGAAACAAGTTAACAAGTTTGGATTCAAGCCACGTCGTAGAGTATAAAAATTTAGGGGTTTTTTTCCCCCTCCTCCTCTGTGATCCTGGTTTAGACTGCGCCAACGAGTGCGCGGACCGACACGTGTACCCCGTCCGCTTTCCCCGTGGGGCTGGGACAGGTGCGCAACGCGGCCGGAGCAGGTGCGCGAAAGCCGGGGGGCGGGGCCTGCGGGAACGGTCGTTGCGTCATCACTAAGCGCCGACGGTCACTTCTGGGCGCCGCCCCCCAAACCAACCCGTCGGGGCCAAGCCCAAGTCCTGCCGGGAAGAGGCGGGGGCGCGCGGTCGCCGAGATGTCGCGAGAGCGGGGCCGCGGCGGGGGGCGCGCGTCGCCGAGATGTCGCGAGAGCGAAGCCGGGCCCTGGGCGCCGCCGTAGGCCGGGCCGCACCGGCGCGTTGGCGCTGGGCCGGCGGTTTGGCGGGCGTGCTGGTTCCGGGCGGAGGGCGCGGGGCTCCGGGGCTCGGGGCGCGCCCCGCCGCTCCGGGCAGGCGCGCCTATGGTGTTTCTCGGGTGACGCCGCCCACAGCGACTCTCTCCGGGGGCGGAGGAAACACCTATGAACCCTTCGGCGACCTTCCTGGTCGGGCGCCCGGTGAGCGCCGCTGGGGGTCCCGGGGGTCTGGGGGCGGCGGGAGGGCTTGGGGCGACCGAGCCCCCGCCCCAGTCTCTGTGTGTGTGTTTTTTTTTAATTTTGACTCGCTGGATTTGGGTCGGGCACTATGGAAGAGCCCGGGGATGCGTCGCGTTAGGGGGGAGGTGCTATGAGAACTGCATCTTTTGTTGTGTGTTGGGATCGAACCTGGCGGTGCTCAGGGCTTCCTCCTGACTCGGCACTCGGGGAGCACTCAGGGCTGGGGCCCTAAAGGGATGACGGTGATCCAGTCCTGGTCGGCTGCGTGCAAGGCCAGTGCCTTCCCCGCTGGACCATCGCGCCTGCCCCAGGAAATTCAGTTTATAATTGCGGGGGTAAGGTCCAGCAAGAGAATAAAGAGCAAAATTAAATGAAATGCAAAAATGATTTTTTTTTAAGTTTGTCACCAGCGGTTTTCAGAGTAATCCCGCTTTGGGGGCCGGGGTGCCTGGGAAGCAGGCCTGGGGAGTGCAGGCACCCCGTTTGATCCCAAGGACGGTCGGGTCCCCAGAGAATGCCCCTTACCACAGACTTGGTCAAAAAAGCAAAAAAAAACACCAGCAGAGGCTTCCTCCTCTCACCTCTGTAGGCAACAGCCGTTGAGTCAGCTGTTCCTCAGGCAGAGTCCCTGTCCCTGAGTCCCTGGTCCCAGTCCTGTTTTGGGGGGGCGAGTGGTAGCCTGGGACCCATGCAGGGTCAACAACATGCACAGCACTTGCCTGAAGCCCTGGACTGTCCCTCCAGTCCACACCTGTGTCAGGGGTCTGGCAGAAAATGAGACCTTGAGACTTGAACTTGCTTCGGGTGAAGCAAGATCGTTTTTATTGAAACTTGGATGTGAGGGGAGAGAAAAGTATATGTTCAGGAGAGAACACAAGCTTCTCGGGAGTGGAAATAGGCAAGCAAAGACACAGACGAGCGAGGTAGTGTTCCAGGGAGAACATGGCCTTGAGGAGCAAACTCAGCTAATCTCATTTTTAATTTTTGGTTCTTGGCCAACACTTGGCCATCCTCAGGTGTTACTCTTGGCTCTGTGCTCAGAAGTCCCTCGTGGTGGTGCTCTTAGGGACCAAGCTCAACTCGTTTTAAGTGTAGATACTTTTTTTTTGTTTTTTTTTGGGTCACACCTGGCGATGCACAGGGGTTACTCCTGGCTCTGCACAGGAGTTACTCCTGGCGGTGCTCAGGGAACCATATGGGATGCTGGGAATCGAACCCCGGTCGGCCGTGTGTAAGGCAGATGCCCTACCCAATGTGCTATCTCTTCAGCCCTTAAGTGTAGATACTTTTGATACTCCCCGTGACTTATTCCATATGCCAAACACAGTAACAGTAACTCTCATTAACAGTGTGGGAAAAAAAACAGTTGATTGGCCTACATAGAATTGGCAGTGAAAATAAAATTATTTGGAAATCAGCTCTGGCTGATTTATACTGTTGATTTGTCTTTGGTTTTTGTTTGGAGGCCACACTTGCCTGTCCTTACGATATCCTCCTGACCTTGTGCTCAGGTATCATTCCTGCCAGGGCTCAGGAGACTGTATGGGGTGCCAGGCTGCATGCAAGGCCAGCCCCCTCTCTGTACTGTCCTTCTGTGCTGTTCCTCTTGACTGTCACTCTAGCTCCCCTATTGATCAGTTTTGTTGTAAAAACTTTCTAATTTTAGAACATCGGGTCAGAAGTTGAGGTTTCCACTATTGAGAAACAACGAAAAGAGCTGCAGCTGCTCATCGGGGAGTTAAAAGATCGAGACAAAGAGCTCAATGATATGGTTGCAGTGCATCAGAGACAACTGCTTTCCTGGGAGGAGGATCGGCAGAAAGTCTTAACTCTGGAGGAGCGGTGCAGCAAATTAGAAGGTCAGACACGCGCCCTGGCGGCCACGCGCTTCTCTGCTGATGCCGCAGACATGCTACTGGCTGACAGCAGCTTCTTGGCATGTCCCTGCATCCCCCAGTGAGACTAGGCAAACAGGATGTCACGAACACTCGTAGTGTCCAGATGCCTTTAAGAGAAACACGCACAGGGCGGATCCACGTGACTGGGAATGTCTCGGGTAAACCTGAGTGGGCTTTAGAGCATGAATAGGAATCAAAAGTAGGCCGGTGTTCTTGAACTGACTCCGATTTTAAACTTTTGGTATTGAACTTGACTACAAGCATGCAAAGGACCATCTTTTTCAGTTGTGATCATCTCAGCTAAAGTTTCCTTTTGTGCCATGTCGATTCTGTCCTCCCTCAAGGGCTGCGTGTGCTGTGCGTGTTCCATCGCTTCTGCACTAACTGTGTTGGGGGAATCATTACACACACTGTACACTGTACACTGTCCTCCCGTGGTTCATCGATTTGCTCAAGCGGGCCCAGTAACGTCTCCATTTTGAGACTTGTTGTTACTGTGTTTGGCATATTGAATACATCACAGGTAGCTTGCCAGGCTTTGCCATGCGGGCGAGATACTCTCGGTAGCTTGCCGGGCTCTCCGAAAGGGGCTGAGGAATTGAACCCGGCTCGGCCGAGCTGGCTGCGCAAGGCAAATGCCCTACTGCTGTGCTATTGCTCTAGCCCAGGGGAATAATTAAATCTGTGTAATAAAATGGAGTCACCTGGACGGAGAGTGGCTCAGCAGGCCAAGTGCATGCTTCTTGTGTAGGAAACCTGGGCTCAGTCCCCTGAACCACACAGTTTCCCAAACACTGCTAGGAGTGACCCCCAAGTATAGACCAGGGACTCGCCTGAGTGCCACTGGCGCACCCCAAACACAAATATAACCACATGGCACCTTCCATTTTACTTGTATTCCACAAAGGTGATGGAGAGCGGACAGTTCTAAATACGTAGTTTTTGGTGTGTGTGTGTGTGTGTGTGTGTGTGTGTGTGTGTGTGTGTGTGTGTGTGTGTTGATGACCACCTGGTTTTACTCTGACCATACCCATACATGTATGTACATATAAATGTGATACTTAAAACTGGGAGGCCGCTGAAGGGGTGGAGTTTGTGTTCTGCATGCAGGCATCCTGAATTCAGTCCTTGGCACCACCTGGTTCCCAAGTTGCACCAGAAGTGACCCCTGAGCACAAAATCTGGAGTAACCCCAAGCACCCCCAGCTGTGGCCAAAAAGGGAAACCAAATGATAGGTCCAGAGAGATACTACAGTGGTAGGGGACATGCCTTACAGGCAGCCATTCTGGGCTTGATCCCCAGCACCACATTTGGTCCTCCAAGCACTGCTATGCTTGATCTTGAGCACAGGTATGCCCAACCTCTCCTCGCTTAGAAAAATCACGATCACGATCATCCTGTAGTTCGTCGATTGCCTCAAGCAGGCACCAGTAACATCTCCTTCATCCTAGCCCTGAGATTTTAAAAAGTGCCATATTCAAGGCTCCTTCAGAGTTAGGAGAATGAGACCCATCATTGTTACTGGTATTTGGCATATTGGGTATGCCACAGGGCGTTTGCCAGACTCTGGTGTGGGCAGGTTACATTCGGTAGCCTGCCAGGTTGTCCAAAGTAAGAATGAGATAATAAGATGTCTTCTAGAGGTCCTTGGCTGCCAGGGCTCTGCTCGGGGCAGGGAGGGAAACCCAGCCCGCCCCGTCCAAGGGGCCCTGGCGAGGAAAGCCAGGTGCGGGGACAGGAGACTTGCGCTGTTCTCTTCCGGGAGCTGGGTTTTATAGTCTCTGGGTCTTGGCTGTTGATGGGATTACACGGCGCCGGGGTGGGGGTGGGGGGGCAGTTGGTGGGTGTGACCCCTGCCTACTGGAAGATGGAGGATCTGGGTGGAGGATGCTCAGCCCGCTTAGAAAAATGTTTCGTGTTTAATAAGATTACACATCAAATATGATACCTTACACAATAAGTATGATAAAATAGAACATACGTAGCTATTGGTGTCCGGTTTCAAATGAGAAAGAAACCTATCTGAGGAAGGGTTATGGGAAATTGAAGATCTGGTAGATACATAGAATGATGGTCATTGGGCCAGGAACATAGCTCAGAGGGCTGCAGCTCAGGCTTTGCACGCCAAAGGCCCAGGTTACATGGTTCCCCAAGCACCACTGGGAGAGAGCACTGAACCAAGAGTACCCTCCCCAGAAAAGATTCTCAGAACTACAGCAAACACGGAAACAAGCACCACGCTCAGGGGCTGCCCCACAGGGGAGCTCTGTGGGCCCCAGCAGCAGCTGGAGGGAAACCTGGTAAGGAACGCCAGCAGCACAGCCCCAGGGGAAGGGCAGGATGGACCGAGAATCCGCCCACAGTCTCGGCAGCTCTGCTCACCGGCTGAGGGTAAGGCTGGCACTGCCCTCTTGGCACCCGCCAGCATGCCGGGCCGGGGGGTCTAACCTGACCTTCCAGGCCATCAGGAGGGCTGGTTCCGGTGCATGCGAGCAAGGGCAGGGCGGTGTCCCGGGTGACAGGTGCGTGTGGAGCTGGCAAACTGCACCCCTCTGATGCTGACAGGCCACACATCTGACGGCTGGTCGCCATGACTCATCAGCACTCACGCAACTCTGTCGAAACTCAGGGGCGGGGGAGCCCCCAGACACTTCCTCGATGACTGCTAGGTGTGTAAGTCGGGGGCTGTTGTCACTTCATAGGGAAGTGCAGGTGGAAGGACTCAGGTCTCCCCTCCCGGGGACAGTGGCCTGCGTGAAGAGCAGAAGCATCGGCCCTGGAGGGGAGGAGCCCTCAGTCGGGTGGGGAGCACTGTCTGAGTCAGCTTCTGTGGAAAACGATACAGAAACTGTGCCAATGAGGAGAGCTACAAGGACCAGAGCCATAGGACAGTGGGATGGGGTCTGCCTTGAATGTGGATGTCCTGGGTTCGATCCCCACAGCCCATATGGTCCCCTGAGCACCGCCAGTAGTAATTCCTGAGTGCAGAGCCAGGAGTAACCCCTGAGCATCACTGGGTGTGACCCAAAAAGACAGAGCTTCTATATGAATCAGCAGTTCCACTCCTTGGCTTCCAGCCCAGGAGCACAGAATGTTCGTTTCCTGTGTCTGCTGCAGTGATCTTCACAGCAGCCAGAGCCTGGAGCCAAACCAGGTGCGCCCATATTGGTGGATGAATAGAGAAATTGTGGTTTATGTACACAATACAACACTACTCAGTTATAATGAAATCTTCTATTTCTCTGCACCCTGGGTGGAACTGGAGAGTGTCAAAGTGAGAGAAGCTAATCCAGATTGATCCCATGGGGAGGATAAAGAAACGGAATAGACAGTGGCCAAGTACAGTGGTCCTGAGATGGCCTGTAGACCCAAGCCTTCGGCTGCGGAGACCACTATAGGCTTTGCATTTGGCGGGAGACTTGGGCTCATTGCTGGCCCTGCATGAACCCTTAGGACCATCAGGAGCAAACCACCCCCAGCCACCAAGTATGACCCCCTAAACCAAAAACAACTTTCTTCTCTAATGAGAAGGGAATCATGAATTATGATGCCTGAATTTAAAAAAAAAAAAAAGGTGAAAAAGAATGCCAAAGATTGGTACAGAAAACACAAGTACTTTTGTTTGAGTGCCACACCCAGCAATGCTCAGGGGTTCCTCCTGGCTCTGAACTCAGGCATTACTCCTGGCACATATGGAGGGACATATGGAATGCCCCAGATCAAAAACCTGGGTCAGCTGTATACAAGGCAAGTACCCTGTTTACCTGCTATACTATCACTCTGGCTGCACAAGCATTTTTCTTACTGGGGAAAAGAAAAACTGACATTACTGAAATAGTTTTTGAACAAAGCACTCATTGCCCGTTTTTCTCTTTTTAATCATACCTGATGGTACTCAGGGCTTACTCCTGGCTCTGCACTCAGGGATCTGGTGGGTCTTAGGGGACCATATGGGATGCCAGGGATTGAACCTGGGTTGGCTGCATGCAAGGCAAATGCTGTACCCACTGTAGGGGTTGTATTGTACATTCTACACTCTATTACTGGTCTAGTCCTGCCTTTTTTTTTTTTCCCTTTTGGGTCAAACCCACCAATGCTCAGGGGTTACTTCTGGCTCTGCACTCAGGAATTACTCCTGGCAGTATAAAACCCCGGCTGGCTTCATGCAAGGCAGACACCCTTGCATGTACTATCACTCTGGTCCTTGGTTGTGCTTTTTTAAAAAAGAGTTTTTCAGTAATTAGGGAAATGCAAGTTGAAACCATAATGAGTAGCCATTCTACATTTACTTGACTAGCAAAAATTACCGTATGTTGGCAACAGTATAAAACCAAGAAGACTTAATTGCTCATGAGAGTTAACCTGTGCCACTAGAAACTCATTGGGCACTGTTAAAACTGATGGTGGCATGCCTGTGGCCCAGCATGCCCACTTTTTCTTTTAAATTTTTATTAGTGAAACACCATGAGGTACAGTCGTAGACTTACAAATTTTGTGCTTGGGTTTCAGTTACACAATGATCGAATACCCATCCCTCACCAGTGCCCATTCTCCACCACCACTGATCCCAGTATCCCTCCCACCTCCCATCCCCCGATCCCACCCTGCTTCTGTGGGAGGGCATTCCCTTTCATTCTCTCTCTCCTTTCCAGCATGTCCACTTTTAGTGACACTCACACTTCACACATGCCTGAGTTCTCGCAGCCACATTTCACCACGTGCATTCTGGCACTCAGTCTGGGGCCTGGCTATGCAGTGCTGACGGGCAAGGCTTCATATACAGGAGGCCTGACATGAATATTAGGGCAGGGATAGTGCAGTGGGCAGGGCACTTGCCTTGCATGTGGCCAGCCCAAGTTCAATCCCTGGCACCCCATTTAGTCTCCTGAGCCCTGCCAGGAGTGGCCCCTGGGTGTGGCCCCAAACAGAAAGAAAGGGAAAAGAAAGGGTCGTATGATTCTTGACAGCCAGCTGGTGAGCCACGTGACCTCCGGGAATAGAATGGGTAGATCAGTATTGACATAACTGAATAATGAAGCAGCCAAAGTGCCTAAACAGGGACTGGAGCGATAGCACAGAGGGTAGGGCGTTTGCCGACCTCGGTTCGATTCCCAGCATCCCATAGTGTCCCCCGAGCATGGCCAGGGGTAATTCCTGAGTGTATGAACTAGGAGTAACCCCTGTGCATTGCTGGGTGTGACCCAAAATGCAAAAAAAAAAAAAAGTGCCTAAGCAAAAGTTACTTGCGGTGTGGACAGGTCTCAGGATTATAATCATAAAAAGTCAGTAGAACTCTAAAAATTATTTTCAGGGATGTGGTCATAGATGGTGAAACTATAGTAAAGAGCAAAAAATTATTAAGATTGGGGCTGTGATCAGTAGGGTAGAAATTGGAGATTGTGTTCCCAAAGTGGCACAGGGAACTTTGGTTTGTTCTTGTTTGGGGGCCACAGCTGGTCACACCCAGGCACTCTTTCTGGTTTCTTGACTCGGGGTCACTCTGGGCAGTGCTCAGAGAACCATTAGCTACCAGGGATTGAATCAAGGCCTCCCGCAGGTGAGCCTGTGCCCCCGGCTTGCCTGCCTGGCTCGGGTATAGCACAACACATTTCACAGCAAAGTTCCAAAAATGACAAGCCCGGCCCTGCCCTGTCTCCAGGCTAAGCCCCTTTTTGAGGGGTGTTTGGAGGCTGTACCCACCAGTGCTCAGAGTTACTGTGAGCTCGGTGCTTGGGGGACCATATGCTCTTTTAGACATTGAATTGGGGCCAGCCCCAGGCGGGACAGTCACCACAACCCCTGTATTACCTCCCCTCGCCCACACTCCTACTTTTTCTTGGTGGGGGGATGGGAGTTTGGATCATACCCAGTGACTCTTGGGGTTTCTTCCTGGCTCTGTTCTCAGGAGTGACCCCTGGCAGGGCTCAAGGGACCGTATTTGGTGGCAGGAATTGAACTCGGGTTTGCTGCATGCAGGGCCAGCCCCTGAGCCCTGAACTATCACTGTGTCCACCAGGTCCTCTCACTCACTGATCCTGAGCTTTGAAGAGTGCGCTGAAGGCCCCCTGTCTGATCACCAATAAGTTACCTGTGACTCTCCCGTAGGTGAACTTCACAAAAGAACTGATATAATCAGGTCACTCACCAAGAAGGTCAAATCCCTGGAATCGAATCAGATTGAATGCCAAGCGGCTCTCCAGAAGACTCAGCTGCAGCTGCAGGAGATGGCGCAGAAGGCGACCCACTCCTCTCTCCTCTCTGAAGACCTGGAGGTGGGCCCTGGCGCATTCCTCAGGGTGCATGCGCTGGTCTCCCTCCCTGTCCCTTCAGTGGGATGCCTCTCTGGTGCAGTTGCTGGAGTGCTCATCCCGGATGGCACTTGGTGATGACAGTGGCGCCAGGCAGGTGCTGTGCCACTATTGTTGGGTAGGACCCAAAATGTAAACAACAAAAATTTTCAAAAATACTAAATTACTGGAGGAGTCGTATAGGGAGCAAGATGCTGGCCTTGCAGCTGGCCCGTAGGAGTGACCCCGGGCGCCGGCCAACACTTCATGGACCCAAAGCCCCTTTTCTTTTTGAATAATCTATAGTAGCCCAAATTCTATTTGTTTCAGCTCCTGGAAGATTATTTTTTATTTTATTTTTTTTAGGGGGCCACACCCAGCAATGCTCAGGCATTACTCCTGGCTCTGTACTCAGGAATTACACCTGGAGGGCTCATGGGAACACAGTGTATCAGGGATCAAACCTGGGTTGACCACATGCAGGACAAGTGCCCTTCCTGCTTACTATCTCTCCGCACCCCTCCCCCAAAGCTTAGGTTTAAATGGACCACTGGAACAATAGATGTAAATAAATGGACCACTGGGAGCCAGAGCTATAGTACAACAGGTAGGGCGTTTGCCTTGCATGTGGCACACCCAGATTTGATCTCTTGGTTTCCTGAGCCCATGAGGACTTATCCCAGAGTGTAGAGATAGGAGTAAACTCTGAGTGCAGCTGGGTAAACTCAATGAAGTTGCGAGCGTGCACACGTGTGTGTGTGTATGTGTGTGTATGCGTGTGTGTTTCCATCCATCATTGTTTTGTGTTTATCTGTGGCTTTGATCTGCTGCATGGTGCTGGACAGAGCATGTACTGCTTCATCAACAGCTTGTTTTAGGGGCCAGAGAGAGAGAGTACAGCGCTAAAGGCTTGTACACGTCCAACTTGAGTTCAGTCCCTGGCATCCCGAGCCCTACCAGGAGTGATCCCTGAACACAGAGCCAGGAGGAAGCCCAGAACACAAACAAACAAACAAGCAGAAGAATTGATCGTTAGGTACTGAACTTAAAAGATGGGAGTATGTTAGCTTGGGCTTCCAAGCTACTTCCTGTTGGCTGTACACAGGCCTGACTCCTGGCCCTGTGCTCGGGGATCTGCTCCTCGTGGGGCTCGGGGGACTATACGTGGTGCCAGAGATCAAACCAAGGCAAGTGCCCTCCCCGCTGTACCAGCTCTTGGGCCCCTTTGTATGTTTCAAACTGAGAAAAATCTCATAACACTGTAGAGTTTAGTCATACATACAGTTTCAACTTTTCAACTGTATAAATAATGTCACATCTGCCACCAAACAATGCCACCATCCTCCATTACCCAGCACGAACCGCTTAACCCCACTTCTCACACCACCCTCTCCCGCCACGTCCCCTCCCTTCACTGCCAGTCAGCACCAAAGTCCAAGGGGTAGGTTTTGTTTTATTTGTCCTGTTTTGTTCCTTAGTATTCGAGGAATGAGTGAAGCTGTGTATTTTTTTTTTAATTCAGCTTTGGGAGGACTGCATATTGGAATGTTTCCACTGGCCAGGTCTTTGAAAAGTCATAGAGCTAAATGTGGCATTACTGTGTGCATGATATGTTTATTCATTCCAGGAAAAGATGATCATGCTTTAAGTATGTACCTTATTCCGGGGCCAGAGAGAGGTACAGGTAGGGTGCTCACCTGCACGCAGCTCCCTGGTTCCATCCCAGCACCACGTTTGGTTCCCCAAGTACAGGGACCACAGGAATGATCCCTGAGCACAGAGTCAGGAGCACCCCTAGGTGTGTCCTCTCAGACCCAAAAAACATAACCAAAATAGATGAATAAGTAAAAACATGCCCAGAAGATTGCTAATGCTACTTAATTCAGCCAAGGAAATGTCATTCACTTTTAATTAATTCCTTTTCTTATTTTAACCTAGACTTGTTCTTGAAAAGCACTAGGAAACAGACATATTAGCAGATCTGACAACATAACGAGTGCAGACACGGTCTTACGGGGTGGCGTGAGTGAGTGGAGAAACAGGCGTTTGTTTTGCTTGTTGATGACTGCTTACTCAGCCCACTCTGACTAAAAAATGTTAAACAAATGAAAAACAAAGCAGAAGGCTGAGCACGGCTTCTGGCCCATGATAGACTCAGTTAGCGTTTTATCTGTTCTCCGTAGGCTAGAAACGAGAATCTCAGCAACACGTTAGTGGAACTTTCTGCTCAAGTGGGACAACTGCAAGCTCGGGAACAGGCTCTCACCACGATGATTAAACTGAAGGTTAGTCCAGACGCGGGGCGGCCTGTGGGGGTGTCTCTCCGGGCAGGGCGGCCTGTGAGGGGGTCTCTCCTAGTAATTTGTCATTTTATGTGTAACCATTTGTAAATTTGGTCCTTAGGACAAAGATATCATTGAGGCAGTGAACCACATCTCAGACTGTTCGGGTAAATTTAAATTGTTAGAGCATGCCTTGCGGGATGCTAAGATGGTGGAGACGTGTATCGCAAAAGAAAAGCAAGATTATAAGCAGAAATTGAAGATTCTTAAAGTGGAAGTCAGTAAACTAAAAGGTAAGGCAGTGATGTATATTGTGGTATTTTGTCATGGGAATACACTCTCCTTTTTGTTATAATCTTATGACTGAGGCTATGTCTGTGGTTGACTTTGGGTTCTAGGAGAAATGTTGTTATGCTGCATTTTTGTATTTCCAGATAAACAACAGATAGGCAGTGAGACAGATACAGTGTTTTTATTGTAATTCTTTGGTTGCGGGGAGGTGTTTGGGTCCTACCTGCTGGCCCAGTGCTTAGAAACCCCCATGGTGCCGGTGATGAGCCAGGGATGGCCACATGCAAGGCCAGTGCTTTGACCCCTTGTACTGTCTCTATAGCCCATAAAACAACATACCTTAAAAATAATCCTGCCTTGGGGGCTGGAGCGATAGCACAGCAGGTAGGGCTTTTGCCTTGCACGCGGCCGACCCGGGTTCGATTCCCAGCATCCCATATGATCCCCCGAGCACTGCCAGGAGCAATTCCTGAGTGCATGAGCCAGGAGTGACGCCTGTGCATCGCCGGGTGTGACCCATAAAGCAAAATAATAATAATAATAATCCTGCCTTTCTCGAGGTCAGGATGAGCTACCTCCCCCCACTTCCCTGTACTTCCAGAAGCCTCTTCAATCACATCCACACCCCAAAGCAGCCACCCAATTGAAAAGCTACTCCAGCCTTACCGTTCCAATGAAAATACCGAATGCCCCGAACAAACATCATGACGTCTTAGCACCTGTACTGCAAACTGTAATGCACAAAAGGAAAGAGGGAGAGAGCAAGAAGAAAAGTGCCTCCCATGGAGGGAGGCTGGGGTGAGGGTGGGGAGCTGGAGCATGGTGGTAGGGAAACGGTGGACGTTGGTGGTGGAAAATGGATGCTGGTGGAGAGATGGATGCTGGATCATTGTATGGCTGAAACCCAACCGTGAAAAACTTTGTAATGGTCTATCTCATGAATATCCAGTTAGAAAAAAAAATTTTAAGAAGTAATGTGATGGGGGGGTGGGAGGGATACTGGGACTGGTGGTGGTAGAGAATGGGCACTGGTGGAGGGATGGGTATTCGATCATTGTATAACTGAAACCCAAGCACAAAAATTTGTAAGTCTACAACTGTACATCATGGTGTTTCACTAATAAAAATTTAAAAAAAAAGTAATATGGAGTTTATGCCCAATTCAATCAGCTTAATCAATGGCTGAATAAATAGCAGTACTCCTACATTTATTTTTTATTTATTTTTTGCTTTTTGGGTCATACCTGGCGATGCACAGGTGTTACTCCTGGCTCTGCACTCAGGAGTTACTCCTGACAGTGCTCAGGGGACCATATGGGATGCTGGGAATCGAACCCGGGTCGGCCGCGTGCAAGGCAAACGCCCTACCCGCTGTGCTATCTCTCCAGCCCCAGTACTCCTACATTAAAAAAAATTTTTTTTAATTAAAAAAATAATAATCGTGTGGTTGCTGTGTCAGCTTTGGCTAATACACACTTTGCACAGCCAAGGACTGTCCTTCCACCATTAGATCCTCTGAGCCTTGCGTGGGGAGTCCAGTGGGCATGGCTGCCACCTCCTGGGCCCCGTCCTCTCCTCCTTGCTCTAGGCTGCCTGGCATTTGTCCCTCCATGAACGCAGAAGCGGAGAGTGCGAGGGTCCTGTGGGGCTGGGTTTGGACTCAGCACTTGGCCCTGTCTCCTCATCCTGTTGACTAGACAGTCACATGGTTGCGTCCAGCGTCAGTACTGGAGAAAGACCTCTGTCCCTCTGTGGGGACACAGTTGGCTAGACTGGCTTCGGTGTGATTGTTTTTAAACGTTCCTTTGGGGGCCTGGCTGGACAGCGTAGCAGTTAAGACTGTGCTTCTGGGGTCTGGAGAGATAGCACAGTGGGTAGGGCATTTGCCTTGTACGTGGCTGACCCAGGTTTGATTCCCAGCATCCCATATGGTCCTCTGAGCACCACCAGGAGTGATTCCTGAGTGCAGAGCCAGGAGTAACACCTGTGCATTGCTGGGTGTGACCCAAAAAGCAAAAAAAAAAAAAAAGACTGCGCTTCCGGATGTTTCCCCGGAGCATGCGCAGCTTCCTGAGTCTGTGCTTGACCGCCTGCTTGAATGCGCCTAGCTGCCGTGACCCACACACGCCCTGGCCAGGGCCAGGGTCCGAGAGCAGAGCTGCTGGGCTGTGCTCTACATGTGGGTGTCCGCGCCCTGCCCGCCACACTCCTTCAGGAGGCTTCGCCTGGCGGGTCTGGGGCTGTGGGTCAGAGCTCCAACTCAGGACCTCACACTTGCTACCCCCTGCCACCTTTGTAGCCCCTGGAGAGTTTTTTGATAATTAGGTTATTAAACTTAACATTTTTTGGTTTACTCATCCCTGCGCTCAGCGCCGCCTTCTCAGGAGGAGACTATCGCTTTCTAAATGGGAAGCCGCGGTGGTGCCTGTTAGCCCAGAGGGGGTGAGGACAGACGGTCTGGTTGAGGGACTGGACGGGTGTCCCCGTGGCTTCGCGGCCATCACGTCTGCATGACGGGGAACCGAGCGGTGTGGCGGTCTGTGCCCAGCACCCTCAAGTGGTCGGGGGCAAGCATGGGAGTCTGGGCCACGTTTGGAGCCGGGACATGTAGGAAGGACGGGGGCCAAGAAGAAAGGGTAACAGACAGGGGCGAGGGTGACTCTCATCCCCTGGCAGTGGGGAAGCCTGGAGCAGAAGCCTAGGCAAGGAGCAGGCTTTTAAATTATTTTTTATTCTTGGGTGTGTGTGTGTGTGTGTGTGTGTGTGTGTATGTGTATGGTTTCGGAGCTCAGATTCAGGGCCTCACACATCATACGTGCAAGGCAGGTGCTCTTCTGCCAAGCCATCCTGGCTGCAGGTTTCCATCTGAAACAGTGTCATGACACAGAAGGCGCATTGCGGGCCCGGCAGGAGGGAGGGGAGGGGAGGGCAGTGCTGGGGCCTGGCCAACAAGGGCACTCAGGGGTCCATGCTGTAGGGCTCCCTGGCACCAGTGTGGACTGATGGACTTTTTTTCTTCTGCTTTTAAAGATGACCTGAATGAAAAAACAACAGAAAATAATGAACAACGAGAAGAGATCATTCGCCTCAAGCAAGAGAAAAGTTGTCTGCAGGATGAACTGGTTTTCAGTGGTAAAAATAGATCGTTGACTGTAGAGTTCCAATAGTGAATTATTTGTCATCTAAATTTTCCACCGTGCCATTAGGGAGGGTGTCTTTGATTCTCTCCTGACCCTCTTGAGGAATGGGGAGTGGCTGGCAGGGGGAAAGCTGCCTCCTGCCTGGCTCAGCCTCCTTTCTCCCCGCTTGTGTGACTGTGCGTATTTGGCCTCAAATGCATGGCACGGGTGCTTCCAGATGCGCTGGCCGTGGGTGCTGTGAATGAAGAGAGGAGGGTGTGACGAGTTTGCAAATATTACATTTAAAACTAGCACTTCACGGGCCAGAGTGATAGCACACTGAGTTTTCCACTTGAACTTGACCTCCAAGTATAAGTTTTCCCTAATATAAACAGCCAGTCTGCAAGTATAATAACATCCTGACAGGCAGGGACAGAGGCAAATCAGCACAGGGCGAGCGGGGATCTCCCTACTGGGGGGACACTGAGAAGCCACCTTGAAGGCAGCTGTCCTGGCACCCCCTGTAGTACTCGGAGCCCCACGGATGCTGGGTGTGGCCCCAAACAAAAGCAAAACAAACAAAAACTAGCCATGTAATCCTTTTCCTGTTTTTAAGCACACTAACTGCAGTTTCTACGAGTGGGAAACATTCATGGTTATTTTGTCAGTGTGACCCTTATGAATGAATGTTTCTTTATTTAAAAGCAAATTAGTTAATATTATGACAAAATAAAAGTTATCTGCCCCAAACTCTACCCTTTTCTATGGTGGCTTCTCAGTGTCCCCCCAGTAGGGAGATCCCCGCTCAGCCCATGCAGATTTGCCTCTGTCCCTGCCTGTCAGGATGTTATTACACTTACAGACTTGTTGTTTATATTAGGGAAAATTTATACTTGGAGGTCAAGTTCAAGTGGAAACTAAACTAAGGGTTTTTTTTTGTTCTGCTCACACCTTCCCTCAGTACTCATTTTTGGGGTTAGTTTAGTTTGGTTTGGGGGCCATACCCAGCAGTGTTCAGGGTTTACTCCTTGCTCTGTGCTCAGGATCACTCCTGATGGTGTGGGGGTGACTAGAGGAATCGTATGTAGTTATGTAGTGCCAGGGATCAACTTCCCATGCCCTTCTTTCTAGGAAGGAAATGTCTAAGTGGGAAACCAATGTTCTATGAAAAAATTTTAAAGAAATTTACTTAGAGCTTGATCTTCAAGCCTGTGTTTGCCCTTGAACATGTATCTCATTTGCTTATTTCTATGTTTCTTTGCATGCTTATTTCCACTCTGGAGAAACCCGTTCTCTCTCTTAAACACTGTCTTCCTCTCCCCTCACGTCTTTCTAAATAATACATTTCAATACAAAATATTTTGCTTCACCAAAAAAAAATTTACTTAGATAATTTTAGGGGAGAGATAGAGTGATGGTATATGTTTAAAAGAAAATATGGGGGGGAAATGTGGGATTCTCTAGAAGGGAAAAGGCCTTTATGAAAAAAATTTAAATAAAACAGAATTCCTTATTTCCATCTGACTAAAGCAGGAAAAATACCTGTTGATTCCACTAGAGGCCACTGTTTCCACGATCTCTGGGATGGCTGGATCTCCGCCATACCTCTTAGAGGACCAGTGACGCTTTGGGATCCTTAGGGTCGAATTCAGACGGTCTTCACCCCCATATCGGTGCGTTAGAGACTGAGAAACTCACAGGCGCACAGAGAATTCAGTTCCGCACAGATGCTGTGAATGACGCTGAGAAGATGGGGCGGAGGAAACAGCAGGGAGGGTGCGTGCCTTGCTGCCGCTGGCCCAGGTTTGATCCCTACACAGCACATGGTCCTCTGAGCCTATCAGGAGCGATCCCTGAGCACAGCCAGGTGTGGCCCCCCAAAATGCTGGAAGTGGAGCCAGAGTGATAATACAGCGTGATAATACAAGTAGGGCATTTGCCTTGCTCGCAGACACCCCGGGTTCTATCCCCAGCACCCCAGACAGTCCCCCTGAGCACCGCCAGGAGTGATCCTGAGTGTAGAGTCAGGAGTAAACCCTGAGCACTGCGACTGTGCCGCCCCCCCAAAATTAATTCTCAAAAAGGAGAATACAGAGGCTGGAGCAATAGCACAGCGCGGAGGGCGTTTGCCTTGCATGCGGCCAACCCAGGTTCGATTCCCAGCAACCCATATGGTCCCCTGAGCACTGCCAGTAGTAATTCCTGAGCACATGAGCCAGGAGTAACTCCTGTGCATCGCCAGCTGTGACCTAAAAAAGAAAAAAAAAGGAAAATACATACATGTGTGATTTCATGGACCCTCAGGTAGCCTTGCTCTCAGATTTTTTTCTCTGCACATGTACCTACACACATATTAATTTGATCTCAGAGTTGGTGCTTTTTTTTTTTTAATGTTTTTGGTTCTTGAGCTACACCTGGTGGTGCTTTGGACCTACTCCTAGCTCTGCGTTCAGGGATCACTCCTGGCAGTGATTGGGGGACTATATGGGATGCCAGGGATCAAACCTAAGTTCACCTTGTACAAGGCCAATGCCTTCCCCGCTGTGCCATGGCTCTGACCCCGGTGCTGTTTTGGTTTGTTTTGGGGGCACACTCCGTGTCTTCTTTGGCAGTACTCAGGGGACCAAGAGGTGCTGGGAATTGAACCCAGACCTCCGCTGGGAAGTACTGAAGCATGTGCTCAGCCGAGCTATCTCTGTGGCTGAGCTGATAGGTTTCTTTTTTTTTTGCTTTTTGGGTCACACCCATCAAATGCACAGGGGTTACTCCTGGCTCTGCACTCAGGAATTACTCCTGGCGGTGCTCAGGGGACCATATGGGATGCTGGGAATCGAACCCGGGTCGGCCGCGTGCAAGGCAAAAGCCCTGCCCATTGTGCTATCGCTCCAGCCCCTGAGCTGATAGTTTTTAATCCTCTTTCAGCCTCAGTTATTGAGTGGATGTTTTCCATGTGATAAGGGGCTCTTCAGAACCCTAGACCAAAGCCTTTCCCAGCCAACCCTCTGCAGTTCTTTTTGATGTTGGTGCCAGGGATCAAACCCAGACATGCGAGGCCTCTGCTCTGCCTGCAAGCCACTTCCCAGCTTGCATTTTGTCATTTTTAAATTCAGGAGTAAGGGAAGAAAGTATGATCTGAGGGTCCGAGAGGAGGACCGGAAGTCAGTGCTTGCCTGTGACTGACCCATCTGACTCCAAAGCTCAGGGATCGCTCCTGAGCACAGAGTCAAGGAGCAGCCCCTGAGCACCGCCGGGTATGGGCCCCACACAAAAACAGAACGAAAGCTTATCTGAGCAGCAGATCAGTGGAAATGGAGATCGGTGTGGACACGGCTAACGAGAACTATTTTAATGACATTTGTTCTTTAATAGCAGAGAGAGAAAAAAGGAAAGATGAGTTACTTGATATTGCCAAGTCAAAGCAAGAGCGCACGAACGCAGAGCTGCGCAACCTGAGGCAGGTATGTCCCGCCTGCTCCCCCTTCCCAGGCCGTGGGAGGTGCTGGGGAAGGCTCTGCGTCTAGTCGCTCTGCCTGTCTGGTGTCATCAACAGGTAAGGGATGTGTTCAGGTCACGTGACCAGTTGGGCTAGAGCGATGGCATGGCAGGGAGGGCACCTGCTTTGCAGCTGACCTGGGTTCCATTCCTGGCCCCCTATGTGGTCCCCCGAACCCACCAGGAGTGAGCCCGGAAGTCAGCCAGGCAGGAGCCCTGAGCATCACTGGGTGTGGCCCCACAAACTAACAAACAGAGAGAAACATAACCAGTTAAAGCCAACATAAAAGGAATGATAGAAGCAAAAGTATTTAGAGCACTTGTCACTGTTTCAGGGTTTAAAAGGTGCCAGAGTGTGGGATTTAGCTTTGTGTCATGCTTTACATTGATTTTATCAATAAAATATATTGCTGGCAGATTTACGTAAAACAACAGAGTGATCTTCAGTTTCTGAATTTCAATGTGGAAAATTCTCAGGAATTGATACAGATATACGACTCAAAGATGGAAGGACCAAAGACCCTAGAATTCAGGTAATCTTTTTTCCAGATAATATTTTATTCCACCATTTGTAATAAATTTTGACTATACCTACTACTCTTCCACATAGAGAAGGGAATGAGTAGGTGTGTGTGCTAGTATCATGGTAACCTATGCAGATCTGATTTTAGGACTTTATGCATGATCCTAATTTAGCCCCTTGATGAAAGCCAGCCATCAGATGTTATTTGTGTGTCTGTTATGCAGAAGGCTTTGAACTAGAGTAGAAGCTGCAGAGACGGATCGTTGATTCATTCAGCGCCTGGTGTGGGCACTGGGCCCGTCTCGGGAGAAGAGCACTGCCCAAACCTGAGAGTGGCAGGAGGGCTGCAGTCGGGTTCTGTAACCCTGCTCTCCGCTTCATGCCCTTCATGTTCTGTCCACAGGGACATCACTTTTGTCTTCTAGGAAACAATAAGCAGTCTGTAAATCAGGCTGGATTCTTTGGAATCTGCCTGTCCGGGGTATGGTTCAGTGTAGGAGGCTTCTAACGGCCTGCAGTTTAAGCATCATCTGCTCTTGGCTGCTCCAGTTCCTCTTTCCCTTCTCCTGTGTCTTAGCTCCTGCTCCTGCTGGCCAGTACTGCGCCTACCCAGTCTTCCCTGCTGCTAACAGCTTTTTCCTTTTTATACTTCATTACTGTTGAGAGGTTTCTGCGCTAGTGGGCTGAGTGATTGTTTAAGAGGATGAAATGGGCTGAGAGGTGTCTCAGTAGAGCACATGCCACTGGGTTTGGTGCTCGCCACCATACACATGCACGCACGCACGCACGCACGCATATGTACACACACGCACACGCAAACGCACACAACATAAGTGGTTGGAATGGCTTAGTTCCATTACAGAATAGGAGAGGGTTGAGGTTTCTTAGAGATCATAGCTGTACCGGTCAGTGTCCCTGAATACATGTGGCATTGAAAAGGCTTTTGACATTATGTTGTGTTCTGAAGTCTTATGCTTTGCACATGTGTCATTTTCACTGAGAGCAGATTTCAGTATGTAATTGCCTGAGCATCCAGCTGTCTGAGGCATGGTCACTGACGCCGTATGGCATACCTGAGTGGTCCTTCCTGATCCTATGCTTGAAATCCTGGGACCCATCAGTGTTGGCATCACTGCTTTTTATTGTGAATCAGATAGAAGTAGGAAAGAAAATAGCAGATCAATCAGAAACCCTCAGAATGCTAAGGGTCTCCTTAGGGCCTGGTCCCAGGAAGGGCTCTGTGTTTCACAGGCTTCAGAGCCAGTCAGGGAGACAGGGTGGACCATGGCATCGTGATGTGACTTATTAGACGATTATTGGCCAGCTAGAAGGTGAGGCTGAGGGCCTTCAGGGTTTGCGGGGCCAGTGACTGAGGCTTGGGGTTCTGAAGGCCTTGAAGAGGAGGGAATTGTGCTCTGAAGAAAAAAATATATATTTTTTTCAATATTTCATTTCAGATCAATGGGTCACAGTAGGATTTAGCTCATCTAGAAGTTTTGGATAAAATATTCTTTTTTTTTCTTCTTTTTGGGTCACACCTGGTGATGCACAGGGGTTACTCCTGGCTCTGCACTCAGGAGTTAATCCTGGTGGTGCTCAGGGGACCATATGGGATGCTGGGAATCAAACCCGGGTCGACCGCGTGCAAGGCAAACGCCTTACCCGCTGTGCTATCTCTCCAACCCTCTTTACTTTTTTTAACTACAGTAATTTTTTTTCTATGTAGGAGTAGTGCTGTTTATTCAGCCACTGATTAGCTGATTGAATTGGGCATGAACTCCACCTTACTTATTTTTTTTCATTTTTTATAATTTTATTTATTGAATCACCATGAGAGCAGTTACAAAGCTTTTGGGTTTAAGTCTCATCATACAATGAAACACCCGTACCTTCACCAGTGCCCATTTTCCTTCCCCAAAAACCCCAGTATATCCCCATCCCAAACCCTCCCTCTACCTGTGGGACAGATGATTTCCACATTACTCTGACTCTACCTTGATTACATTCAATATTTTGACACCAGACCCACCATTATTATTTGGAATTTTACCCCAACACTCAGATCTGCTAAAAAGGCAACAGTAGACAATTTGTTTCCTATTGCTGGTTATGAATAACATATGATGTCTCATGGCTGCAGTAGTGGTCACACAATTTTGAAATTCTGAAATTTTAACAATTAAATCTGGAGGGATTTCTGCCAAACCTGCTGGGTTCCAAGAGTTGTTCCTGAGTCTCTGGGATCATGGCCATTAATCAGTTTGATCAGGAGCCAGAAAGGCCATTCATGGGCGGCGACTCAGGGTCTCACTGGGACAGGGAGGAAAGGGCCAGCTCCGCCCCCATCCAGTGAGGCCTTGCCTGTCTCATCACTTCAGGCCCAAACCTGACTGTCCAGTGGCCTCTGGAAGATGGCGGCCACCGAGCCGCCTAGGGGGAGCAGGCGGAGGGACAGCACCCTTTCCCCCCTGGAATGGCCCGGCGACAGTAACCTACTGCGGGGTCCGGACCCATTTCTGCCAAAAGCCACTGGGTTCCGAGATTTGTTTCTGAGTATCTTGGATCATGGCTGTTATGCAGCTTGATCAGGAGCCAGAGAGGCCATTCGTGGGCAGCAACTTGGGGTCTCTTTGGGGTGAGGTGGGCGGACTGGCTCCATACCCATCCCATGAGGCCCCGTGTGTCTTGTCACTGTAGGCCCAAACCTGACTGTTCAATGACCTCTGGCAGATGGCGGCCACCGGGCCACCAGGGGAAACAGACCAAGGCACGAAACCTGTTCCCACCTGGGGTGGCCCAGCGACTGTAACCTATTGCAGGGACTGGACACATTTCTGCCAAAAGCCATTGGGTTTCAAGATTTGTTTCTGAGTCCCTGGGATCATGGCCATTAAACAGTTCAATCAGGAACCAGAGAGGCCATGCCTCCAATTATATAGCTGAGCCAGAGGTGATTTGTGGGTGTGTTTCCCACATACCTAACTTTTGGCCGTTTACTTTCTTGGTAAACTTTGCCCCAAGTTTTTGGGGTCTGGCCAAAGGCACAGCAGCAATTTTGGGGTATCTGGAAGTCTGAAGGCGCCATCAGGCTGCTGATGCACTCGCCTCACAGGTACAGATTGACCTGCTGGCGGCACCATAACCCCGGATGATTTTTTTTTTTTTTTTTTTTTTTTTTTGCTTTTTGGGTCACATCTGGCAATTCTCAGGTGTTACTCCTGGCTCTGCACTCAGGAATTACTCCTGGCAGTGCTCAGGGGACCATATGGGATGCTGGGAATCGAACCTGGGTCGTCCACATGCAAGGCAAACGCCCTACCTGCTGTGCTATCATGGATGAAATATTCTTAACAATATCATCAAGTATAGATTATAACTTCTGGTTTGTTTTTGATGTATGTGTTTTATTTTTATTTTTGTAATGCCACCATAGCAGAGACATGTGTTTATCAGACCTTGAAATTGTCCACCCAAAAGTTGATCTGAAGAGGGACAGAAACCAGAAGCCACTGATGAAGGAACAAAAATTTGAGAGCATGTTGATCCAGCAAACCCAGTCAGACAAGAACACTTGTGACGTATGCAAAGAGAAGAAACAGTTCGACAGCGCTTCCGGGGAGAAAAGTGTAGCTGCTGTCTCATCTCTGCTCACGAAAGACTTGGTGGAGAAGCCAAAGGCATGCTGTCTGGGAGGCAGAGTCCAGAGCGAGCCTGAAAACAGAAGCACGTTGTGTGCGGCCCACGCCCAGGCCCTCCTTGGCCCTGGTGCAGGGCTCTCGAGCCAGGAGAAGCCACCCTGGGAGCCACTGTCAGCGGGGCAGCACTGGCACGACGTCAACGTGTACCTGGGCCTGGCCGACTGCTCGGCCTCCAAGCAGCCGGAGAGGCCACCAGATGGGGTGTGCCGCAACCCCGGGGAGGGGGCTGGCGTCTGCTGCAGCCCCGGGGGCGCCTGTGCGGGGGCGAGGGAGGCCTGCGAGGCCCACTGCTGCCACCCCAGGAACATCGTCATCGAGGCCCCGGGCCACATGTCGGACGTGGAGTGGATGAGCATCTTCAAGCCCTCGAAAGCGCAGAGGATCGTCCGCCACAAATCCCTGTGCACTTGTTCTGGAAGCGGCGTCGGGACGAAATACGACAACTGCACAAGGTCAGTCCCGTCCCGGGTTTCTGGAAACTCCCTGTCCGGCATGTCGGGAGCTGCTCGGTCTCGCGGTGCCGTACAGCTGGACACACAGACAGTGGCCCTTCCCCTCACCACGGGGGCTTTTGGGCTCCCCACCCAGAGCTGCGGCTGGTGCCAAAAGAGTGTGCTGGGCCCAAGTCTCCTACCAGAGGTTTTGCTTCAAATCAAACCCAGTTGTCACATGTTGGGCACATATGTTTTATTTAAAAACACACGGGCTAGGGGCCAGAGCGATAGCACAGCGGGTAGGGCGTTTGCCTCGCACGCGGCTGACCCGGGTCCAATTTCCAGCATCCCATATGGTCCCCCGAGCACCACCAGGAGTAATTCCTGGGTGCAGAGCCAGAAGTAACCCCTGTGCAATGCCAGTGACCCAAAAAGCAAATAAATAAATAAATAAAAGCGGGCTAGGAACCAGAGCTATAGTCCAGTGGGGAGGGCTGGAGAGCAGAGGGGACAGTCCCCTGCTCTCGGCTGACCCGGGTTCCATCCCGGCATCCCATATAATCCCCTGAGCACCTTCAGGAGTGATTCCTGAGTTGCAGAGCCAGGATGAACCCCTGAGCTTTGCCAGCTGTGGCCCCCTGAAAGTAAACAAAGCTCAGCAAGTGAGCCAGAGGCCCCCTGCAGCAGGGATGCGCTGGCCTTGCGTGTGTCTGGCCTGGGTTCCATCCCCGGCACCCCACATGGTGCCCTGAGCCCTCCAGGAGTGATCCCTGAGCACAGGAGTCAGCCCTGAGCGCCTCCAAGGGTGGCCCCCAAACCAAAACCAAATAAGTAGTTACTTAAAGACAAACCCATCAGCTGGGCTCTTTACAGGCCGATGCCTCCTGGCCACTCAGTGCCCCAGACTGGCCGCTCTGCTGCCCAGAGTGCGGCACGGAGACCCCAGGGACCACATCCCCTTGCTCTCAGCCGGGTGACTACAGAGTTACACGCCTGACTGCTTCTGCCCCTGGGTCACTGCATTTCCCAAACTTCTTGTGCTTTAAAATAACGCAAGGCTTTATTATATTTTTTAATAATGCAAGACTTTAATATTTGTGTTTAACCAGCTGGCAAAAGCCATTGGTTTTTTAAGAAAAGAAAATGGATTTGTTATTAGCATATGCTGTATTATCCTGGCTCACTTTATTGTTAGAATTGCTGAATGTTGTGGTTGAGTGATGCTATAATTATATCTGCTATTTTTAAATAAAACCTAGCTCTTCAATCTTCTATTACAGAAAGGACAAAGTTTCAATATTAAGAGACTGACTTTGATTGTATTGACTTTCATGGGATTTTTTTTATGAATAAAATTTCTGATATTGATATTATTTGGATTTTTTGTTTGTTTGTTTTGTTTTGGGGCCACACCCAGGGATGCTCAGGAGTTACTCCTGGCAGTGCTCAGGGGACCATATGAAGTGCTGGGGATCGAACCTGGGTCTGCTGCATGTGAGGCAAATCTCCTATCTCTCCAGCCCCTATTTGGATTACTCTTTGACCTGTTTATTTTACTTTTATTTGGGGGTTGTTGAGCTATGCCTGGCAATACTCAGGGTCTGTTTCTGGCTCTGTGCTCAGAAGTTATGCCTGGCGCTGCACAGGGTCCTGTCTGTGGTGCTAGGGTCAGCTACATGCATGGCAAGTGCCAGCCTCCATCTGATCTCTCTGGCCCCCTCGTAGCCCCTCTTGGAGGCTTGGTCACCTAAAAATCATGCAGATGTTATTCTGTCATTTACAAGAAAAAAATTAAAGCCTGTAACATGTAACACTAAATGTCAGCTGCTCATACTGGATTTTCAGTTTGTTTTTGCTCGTTGGGCCTTACCCAGCAGTGCCTGGGCCCTCCTGACTCTCCCGGTCTCAGTGGCGCCTCCTGAGGCTCAGGGGACCACGGAGGGCCTGCAAGACTGAGCCGTAACTCCAGACTACTTCTCCAATCCCAGTTTTGCTTTCTAAAGATTTTTAGGAAGCTTCTTGTTTTAAATTTTATTTAAAACTTTCGATTATATATATATATATATATATAAAGTTTTTTGCTTTGTTTTGGGACCTAACCCGCAGTGCTGAGTGGTCACCCCTGGCTCTGCACTCAGGGATCACTCCTGGTGGGCTCGGGGACCATTTTGGGTGCTGGGGACTGAACCCGCTCTGCTGCTTGCAAGGCAAGTGTCCTACCCACTGTGCTGTTGCTCCTGCCCCAATATCTTAAAAATGCGTACTGCAGTTTAGATAGCATGGTACAGTGTGATTCAGTATTAAGGCTTGTCTGTTTCGGGGGGTGGGGGTCGCGTGCCACACTGCTGATGCTGAGCTCCTGGCGGTACTCAGGAACCACGCATGGTCCCGAGGGTTGAAGCAGGTCGGCTGTATGTAAGACACGCGCTTGCCTCGTCCCATCTCCTGCCTGACTTCATGGTTTTAATGTGCAAACTTACTGCCCAGAACCAAAAACACAAAGTCAAAGTCTGTTTTTAGATAGGAAGATAAATGTGTGTGTGTATATAGAGAGAAAGAGAGTGACATACAGCATATATCTGATATCTGCATATCAGCATATAACTGTAACTCACGTGTGTGAGATTGTGAGTACAACATAGAAAGCCAAAGCAGGGCACTTGCCCTGGAGCCACGCACGGGCCACACGGGGCTCGTGCCTGGCTTCCAGGTTCTTCTTCAGGCCCGAATTTCCTTTCCTCTCTGGCCTGGCAAATCACCCTGGCGAGACCCTCACACTGTCACCTCCTGCACCGAGTCTCTGTCTCTCCCTCACAGCGAGCTCACTCCCGTCCCGCATGGCCTGGCTGGGGGCTCTTCACAGCTGGCCTCCAGAGGGGACGAGAAACCTGGCGACGCAGAGGCGGCTTGTGAGGCGGCTTGTGATGGAAGCAGTTCCCCGAAGCTTCTGCCCACCGCCAGCCCGGACACTGCCGTGCCCTGCGGAAAGGTCTGTCATGCCTCTGCTGTCCCCCGTTTGGCTCGGTCTCTGCATTTCTCAGACTTTTAAATGCTACAGGGGGCCGGGGAGATGGCACAGGGTTAAGGCACTTGGCTGGCACGTGGCCAAGCCCGGTTGGGTCCCTGGAAGTGCATACGGTCCCACCTCTCACAAAATAACAAAGCCCGTTGAGAGACGTGTCGGACTCAGACACGCTGACACGCCCGTGTGCTGCCTATGGGTCACGCGTGCTGTGGTCAGACTGATACCGATCAGCGCTGCAGCAATGTTGAGACAGCTACTTCTTCTCTATCTTTTGAGAATAGTTGTATGGGGGGATAATCTAGCGGGCAGGGCGCTTGCCTTGCCTATGACTGACCCATGTCTGATCCCTAGCACCCATATGATCCCCTAAGCCCTGCCAGGAGTGATCCTTGAGCACAGAGCTAGGAGTAAGCCAGGAGTGAGTGATCCTGAGCACTGGTATGGGTGTGACCCAAAAATCGAAAAGAGAAAAGGAGGGAGGGAGGGAGGGAGAGGTGCTCCCTGGGAACATGACCCTATGTCCTCCTTGCTGAGCCCCTGGCCACCCCGCGACCCTCGGCAGGGGCCATGACAGGACCTGGGCGCGGGGCCGCATCTTTCCTGCTTGTCCTCTGGAGTCTGTGCTGGCAGGTGGCTTGCCAGTATAAGGCATCCATGTTGATGACTGTGTAATTTGACATGGAGGAAACATGTTACATCACGTGTGCTGCTGCCTGCAAGTGCCCACAATCCCGGTGTGTCCATGTTCGTCCCTCTGAGGAGGGCTTGGCGGCTGGACCAGGCTTCTTCAGCCTCCATGCACAACCTCTTGCCTTTGGGGGTTTTTGTGTGTGTGGTTGTTAGACTTTTTTTTTCTTTTTTGGGTCACACCCAGCAATGCTCAGGATGACTCCTGACTCTGCACTCAGAAATTACTCCCAGTGGTGCTCGGGGGACCCTATGGGGTGACGGGGATCAAACCCGGGTCAACCTCGTGGAAGGCAAGTGCCCTCCCCGCTGTCCTATCACTCTGGCCCCCTCGGCTCATTTTTTTCAAACAACAGGGTCCTTCCCCACAGTGCTCTGGCCTGACCATCTGGCACTTGGGCCCGAAAGTGGAGGCTGTTGGGGCCACATGCCATGGTGCTCGGGGACCCTGCAGGTCTGTGGGTTGAACTCCAGGGCCTCCCGTGCCAGGCCTGTGGTCTGGCTCACCTAAACTGTCGTCCCCAGACCCAGGCCTATTGTGTGTGTGTGGAGAGCCATGCTTGATTGCTCCTAGCATAGTGCTCAGGGCTCACTTCCAGCACCGCCAGGGATCAAACCTGGGCCTCTACCATGCACACTCACCATTTAAGCTATTTTTCCAGCCCCAAATTGTGTGTGTGTGTGGTGGGAGGGGATGGTGGGGGCAGCCACACAGCAATGCTCAGGGACTACAGGCTCTATGCTTGGGGGTCACTGTCAGCAGTGCTCGTGGGACCTGTGGTCACAGAGATTGACCCCATGCCTCCTGCACATACAGCATGCACTCAGCCCACTGGGCTATCTCTCTGGCCTCCCATAGCATAGTGATGCTCAGGGGTTACTCCTGGCTCTGCAGTCAGGAATTACCCCTGGCGGTGCTCGGGGGACCATATTGGGATGATGGGAATCGAACCTGTATTGACCACGTGCAAGGCAAACGCCCTACCCGCTGTGCTATAGCTCCAGCACTAATGAACCATTTCAACACAGAGAATGAAGACTGTAACAAGCTTCTTTCAAATACTCCACAAGTCTTTAGTGTCCAAGTATTTTGACATCCTAGCCATAGAAAGTTTATTTAAGAGAGCCAGATGGTGCCGAGGATTCTTTTACCCAGGGATATGAACGTAGTTTTACGTTCTGTGCAAGTCATACTTGGTTCTCTTCATACTTAATGGCCTGCCTTTGCCTTGCTGAGAGTTCGGACTTTCAGTCCCGGTGGGTAGCTGCCTCCGGTGCCGTGGCATTGCGCTGGGAAGCAGCGTTCGGAAGTGCAGCGCGATGCTCTGAATGCCTCCGTGATGTCTCCCCAGGATGACTTTTCCCCCACCAGTAAGCTCCAGCGGCTGCTGGCCGAGTCTCGGCAGATGGTCACGAATCTGGAGCTCAGCACCCTGCTCCCCGTCAGCGCTGAGCGTCTCGGCAGCACTGCCCAGAAGGTGGGTGCTTGACTCTCCTCTGCCCTAAGCTGCGGCTCTTGAGCCTCTACTGCGTCTTCATGTGTAAATCCCACTGGTAGAATCTCTTAAAACGAAAGTTTCTTTTCATTTTTTGAGGGAGGGGAGATTCGCAGAAGACAGAACATTCATACTCTCAAATGCTGGTGCAATCAAACTTCCTCTTTCTCATTTATTTGTTTGCTTTTGGGCCATGCCTGCTGGTGCTCAGGGGTTTTCCTGGCTCTGCACTCCGGAATTACTCCTGGCAGACTCAGGAGACCATATGGGGGCTGGGCATTAAACCTGGGTAGGCTGCATGCAAGGCCTATCCCCTGCCCCAATCTAACTTTCTCTTTCTAATTACTGGAGCATCTGAATAAAAAACCTCAAGAAGGGGCTGGAAAGATAGTGCAGAGGTTAAGGTGCTGTCTTGTACACACAGTTGACCCACGTTCGATCCCTGTACTCCGTGTGGTCCCCTAAACCCCACCAGAAGTGATCCCTGAGTACAGAGCAGGAATAAAACCTGAACATCACTGAATGTGGTCTTAAAACAAAAAACTAACAACAAAATTCCTCAGGAAAAATTTTAATGGACCCCCCCAAGCAGTGCTCAGGGACCCAGGGCCCAGCTGTGTGTAAGAGCACTAAAGTTCATTTTTTTTTTTGAGCTTCATTTTTCCTCAGGTATATTATACATACGGGAAAGATTGCCTATCTTGGAAGAACTAGCTAGTGAATTTTCACAAATTGAATATTCTTTTAAGAAATTCCCTAATTAACAGAATTCTGTCATTACCCACAGTACCTAGTTCCTCTCCCCACCCCCCATCTCCCCCCGCCCCTCCCCCCATCTCCACCTCCCAGGGTACAGCATACTGACCACAGCCCTGCCGCTGCTGCCTTCACAGGCAGTCACTACTTTAAGTTGGAGAAGGCTTCCCAGATAGAGAGAGAGAGAGTCCAGGGCGATAGCCCAGCAAGGAGGGCACTTGCCCTATACACACCAACCTGGGTTCGACCCCTGGCATCCCGTCCGGTTCCCCCAGCACCTCCAGGAGTGATCCCTGAGTGCAGAACCAGGAGCTACCCTGAGCATCACTGGGTCTGGCCCAAAAACCAAAAAAAAAAAAAAAAAAAAATCCCTGGGAAATAAATATACCAGATCAGAACATTTGAAAAAGAATTGAAATAGAGAACAAATACAAAAGTAATCATCATCAAGAGCAAGAAAAGCCATGACACAGTCGATCCACCCAATACAGGTCTGGGGCTGGTGAGCTGGTGCACTTCACAGGCGCGGCGCCCACCCAGCTGTGGCCCCCGCCCACTCAGGGAGCCCTGAGCACAGTCGCTGTCACAGGGCCCTCTCACTCCGTGACCTCTGCTCGGACTTTCCCCCGACTCTCAGGTTTTGTCTTTGTTGACATTCTTTTTTTTTCCTTTTCGTTTTCAGGGCCACACCCAGCAATGCTCAGGGGTTACTCTTGGCTGTGCACTCAGGAATCACTCCTGAGAATGGATTTTTAAATAAAGTATTGTGGGGCCATGGAGATAGCTGAAAGGGACGGAATTCTTGGCGTGCATGCACGGAACCCCAAGTTCAGTCCCTGGCAGCACACGGATCCCCCCAGCACATGAGAGCCCTGCAGCACCAGGCTGAGCACTGGCTGGCCAGGCCCACCTGCTGGCCGAGCACTGCACAGAAGAAAGAGTTGTGTTTGGCTTGGCTCCCGCAGACATTGCGGATGTGGAGGGGCTGTGCCCAGGGCTCCAGCATAGCATTCCTTTCAAGTCCCAGAAGTGACTGTGCTGCCCATGTCCGGCTAAAGGGAGCTGGGACAGCGCTGTGGCTCATCCACCCTGAGAATAAGGCAGGACGACAGTCTGGGACCCGGTCTGGGGCACACAGGGAAAAAAGGAAAACAGCTCAGCTGCCACATCAGCTGGATTAGAGCTGCAGTGCTCAGGGCTGACTCCTGGCCCTGTGCTCAGAGCTCACTCCTGGCAGGGCTCACGGGACCCTGTGGGGTGCTGGGATCGAAGCTGGGTCAGCCATGTGCAGGGCCAGCACCCCCATACCCTGCGCTCTCTGCTCCCATCCAGCCTCCACGTCATGTAAAGGCATTTCTCTGCCATCTGCGTGTTTCTTTTTCCAACTATTTTCTAGCTTTTCTTCCTCAGAGTCTTTCCCCCCCACCCCCCTCGGAGTCTTAAGTTAGAACTTTGGGACTTGTTTTGTAGAATGTCGACGTCTCAGAAGAGGCAGCTCCAAAAAGTCCCTTTCTCTGTGACTGAAGAAGACAGGACTCAGCTCAAGACACCGTGGTCAGGGGTAGGTCGCCTTGCTTATCTCTCCTTCCATCTCAGTTGATATTTAATAAGTAACTTGGGGACATTGATAAGCAGAGTCAAGTCCACGGCTTGTTGGACCTGTCACCCTTTCTTTTTGGCCTACTCATACAGGCCTTCTGAAGGGAATGGGTGAGAACTGCAGATCACACTGCACACGCTCTTCCCACTGTTGGAAATCTTAAATCCGAGGAAAGGAACATGTAGATTAGAGGTTTCAGCCGCAGTCGAAGAACGTTATATTTTCATTCTCTCTGAATGTCTGGAAAGAAGTCTTGGCGCAGGGTTTCAGGTTTTCTGAAAAGGCCGCTGCATTGAGCTACGTTTCCAGGCCCCGCCACCTCAGCAGGTGACAGGGAGGCCGAGCCCGCCTGTCCTCACCTGTGAGCCCCCCGCATGCCAGAGCCTTGTCTCCCACTTGGAGGGCCCCCTGTTCTTTTTCTCTCTTTGCTGAGAGGTAGTCATATTTGTAACATTTCAAATTGCCTTATGCTGACGAAAATCAAGATTTTTTTTAAGTGGCCAGGAGCTTTCAGCACATGGTCTAGCACGCATCGATTTTGATTTTATTAACTCTGTGTTTCCTTCCTGCAGAAGCCGGTTCTCATCTGTGTGGAAGACAAGAAGCAGACATCAATACCTCAGACTTAACCTTGAAAACAAAGGGGCTCATTCCCGTGGGGAGCGGAAACAAAGTTGATTTTCCAATGCCTATATTCTGTTTTCCAGTGAACCATTTTCACATGCAAGAAATGTTTATTGTGCGTAAGAATTAGACCTTGAATTTTATACATATGAACTTGCAATTATGCTGAGAGGGAGAAGACGCGGCCGCAAAGCTGGAGACCATGGTCAGCCCTGGGCTGGAGGCACTCCACGAGGGGCGTGTGGATTGGAGAACCCCTGTATGTAAAATGCTATTTTAACTACCTGATATTTTTAAACCGGTGAATACATTTAAATTATAACCATTAGCCTATGAGTCAGCTCCAAATACATGGGAAATTATGTTCTCTTTTCTGAGCTTTTAGTTCTGGACTTGGCTGTGTAAAGTAGACATAAGATAATATAAAATGTTTAAAACTGGAAATAACTCCCAGAGGTCCTTCTGCTCCAGCTCTGCGCAGAGAGCACCCTCTGCCTGGGTCTGGATCCCGTCTCCTAACAGAGACCTGCTCAAAGATGAGTTTTTGTATGGATTTTTTTTTAATCATTAATGACTAAAAGACTAATGTTTGAACTTGTAATTTAATTTTTAAAAAGAATATGTGTCTCTCCGACTCTGCTGAGAGAATTGCTCAGCTCCAGTGAATAAAAACTATTTTTAATAATAAAGAAAAAATTTTGCTTTAACAAATTACACAGGAGAAATAATAAGGAAAGAGAAAAGCCCTCATTATAAAATAAGGAAGGAGAGTGGCTGGGAACCACACCTGGCAAGTTGTTTCCTCAGTAATAGGAATGTATTTTTGAAGCATGGAGCTCTCAGGCTTCTGTTGTGCTACATAAATGTTCCTTTGTTTGAGGGTTTGAAACAGAGCTGCTCAGGGATGATTTTCATGAGAGTGGAGGAGCTGCCCCATCCTTCTTTAGTTGGGAGTCCCAATAGGAGTCCCTCATAGGGGCTCTGTATTAGGGACCTTGGTGGTGCTTAGGGCACCTTGTGTGGTACTGGGGGATCAAACCGGATTAGCCGCATGCATGGCAGGCACCTTGCCTCCTTCATTATCTCTCTGAGCCCCATTTCTCCTTTTTATTTTGGGTGCTAAAAAAAGAAAGTCGGGGCCAGAGCGGTAGTACAGCGGGTAAGAGGTATTTGCCTTGCACCCAGCCAACCTGGGTTCGATTCCCGAAACCCCATATGGCTCCCAAAACAAAAAGAAAATGAAAAAGAAATTTGGTGGGGTTTTATGCTCTTTTAAAATTCCTGCTTTCAGGGCCAGAGCGATAGCATAGCGGGTAGGGCGTTTGCCTTGCACATAGCCGACCTAGGTTCGATCCCTGGCATCCCATATGGTCCCCCAAGCACCGCCAGGAGTAATTCCTGAGTGCCGAGCCAGGAATAACCCCTGAGCATCGCTGGGTGTGACCCAAAAAGCACAAAAATAAATAAATGATTAATTAATTTAAAAAATTTAAAAATTCCTGCTTTCAAGCCCACGATAGCTCAAAAAGCTGGAAACTCCACTCTGTGCAGAATTTCTGGGTTCAGTCCTCAGCACCACCAGAAGCGATTTCTGCCCCCAGACCACAGCCCAAAAGACAAATGAATGTTGTGACTATTTTAAGTATCTATCAGGTCATTTTAAATATCTATAATATTTAGTCTTGCCCACCACACTATGTGAATTATACCACATACCATTAAAAGAATGGGAAATCTTCATATCATCAATTTGTCTCAACCTAAGTTATTCAAATATTTGAGGAATTTCTGATAAAGAGAGGCAGCCTTAGTATGTTTGAATAGTTCCAAGATAAAAGTAGGTTTTAGCATTTATATTTCGTCATCGACATTCTTTCATCTTAAGAGGAGGAAGTGAATTGTACTATAATTTTCCTGCCAGAAATTATCTGAGCCATCTGAAGAGACTTGATATTGTATATTTTTAGAATTTGTGAACAGATCTTTGAAACAAAAATAGAAATACCCCAAAGAAATTCTGAATCAAGATAATACATAAACATTTAAAACAGTTTTACCAGAAAAAGTGCTAATAGGATGCATGGGCCACAGAGGCTCCTGGGAAGGTGTTGGCCGAAGGTGAGGCCTGGAACCTGTGTGTGCCCAGGAAACTGCCCGGAGCTGCCCCCCAACCCCACCCCGCGGCTCTGAGATCTTCCCACTCAGCTAGCCCAGCTCAGTGCTCACCTTGCTCAAGCCAGCTGAGGAGGGTTTCAGGAAGAATCTCTTTCTTTTTCAGTTTTTGGATTTGGATTTGGGCCACACTCAGCTGTGCTCAGGACTTTCCTGGCTCTGTGCTCAAGGATCACTCCCAGTGGTGCTCGGAGAACCATATTTGTTGCTGGGGATCAAACCAGGGTCAGCTTTGTGCAAAGCAATCACTTAACCCCTGTACTATTTCTGGCTGCCAAAATAGTATTGATTAATACTTCCTACAGCTGATAAGGGTAAACCAGATCAGATTAAGAAACCAGACACAAGAGCCAGGGAGATGGTTCAAAGGACTGGAGCCCAAGCCGGGGACACACACACGGCCCCTGGTTCAGTCCCCGGCACAGCATGGCCTTGTAGCCCTGGACGTCCCCAGCATGACTGGGGAGGCCTAGTCTTTAGCTGAAGAGGCAGGTTAAAACTAGCATGAGAATTGACCACGTGCAGAGAGCCTATTGATCAGTCATGTAAAGGATGGCTTCTGGGTTCTCAGCCAAATGTGTGCTTAGGAGATCTAATAAAAAAGAAAATAGAATTTGAGCCCACAGCAATAAGTACTGCTTTGCTGATCACTGGAGACTTAGCAGTGAGCAAAGCCAGCTCGATTTTTTGTTTCTAGGGTAGTGGGAAGAGAGACTTTATTCAAATAATCATAAACAGTTCATAGAGACTGGTTAAGTGTTATGACATTCAGCTCTGAGTTGCTTTGACCTGGCTCTCCGTATAACAGGGACATAGGTCAAAGCGAGGAGGATTCTCAGAGGAAGTGACTTCCCAACCACGATCCTAATCAGGCAAGCAGAGAGAGGAAGAACATTCCAGATAATGGCACTAGCAAGTGCAAAGGCCCTGAGGTGGGAAAGAGCGTGACCCACTTTGGGACCTGTCAGACAGGGTGGTGGAAGTGGCCAGGAGCCTGGGCCAGATCATCCAAGCTCGGGCGGGGCGATGCAGGTATTGCAGCCACGTGGCAAGCCGCTGGTGGAAACCCCACTGCCCGTCCTGCTTTCCTGGGATTGAGATCTGGCCCATCCCCCCACACTTCCTACCACACTGGAAAATGTGAGACTGCCTTCGAGATGCACCCAAGGGCTCTCCGGGGTTCTGAAGACCGGGAGCCTCAGCCCTGCAGGCAGGTAGCAGGCAGCTGCTAAACACACGTGATCTCACCCGTGCCGTAGTCAGAGTTCAGCGCACGCAGGTAAGTTCCATTGACACAGCCCTTTGAGCCACATGCCCTGGACCACGAGCAGTGTCTAACGATTGTGACAGACAAGTGGTAGTTGGGGTCACTGCGCATGCTCTGGGCCCATGGGGTCGCTGCCGGCTTACATGGGCTGTCCTGTGGGGTCCACAAGCCTGTGTTCATGTGCAAAGGAGTCTAAGAAACAGCTGAACGGAGCGAGCACTCCCGCGATTGTGGCTTGGATCTGACCACAGTGGCAGAAGAGGGTGCTGAGGATTTAAAAGGAGATAATTCCACATAAAGGGTTTAGCGCCGTCAGCGGCCTATTAGCTTTGCTGTTCCACTGTTACTCTGGTAAAGCAGCTTTGGATCAGACGGAGGGTGGTGAGGACAGGGAGGCTGTCAGGTGCAGCCCTCCAGCTCTGGGGCTATGGGGGGGGGGGGGCAGTCAGTGGCTTGGCCCTCGCCTGCTGTGCCCAGGGCTTGCTCTTTTTTATCTTTTGGTCACACGGAAATGCTAGGGGTTACCCCTGGCTCCACACTCAGGAATCACTCCTGGTGGTGCATAGGGACCATCTGGGACTCTGGGGATAGACCCCGGGTTGCCCCAGGCATGGCAAACATCAGGACTTACCTTGGCTCTGTGATCATACATGATGCCAGGGATGAAACCAGGCCTGTGTGCAGGCAGGCGCTGTCAGGGAGTCCTTAATCCTGTCCTGGGAGATCTCCCTCATTCTCGTAGGCTATGAGTGGCGCTCCCGTAAAGCCATTGGGGAATGCACACGTGGGAGAACGTGATTTTTTTATTACTTCCATCTGTGACCAGTAATAAAAATCAGTCAGTGGTGAACGCCGTGCCTCGCCCACTGCATCTGCCGCAGGCGTGGAGGGCCCAGCTCTGCTCAGGGCTGCGGGTGAGCAGGCGGGTGCCCTGGCTGGGGGGCGCATGCAGGGAAGCGCAGCCATCCTCGTCAGCCAGTCGAGCAGAGCTGCTTCAGCAGGGCAGGCGTGGTCTGTGTGTTTTGACATAAGTTCATGTAAGATTGCAAAGGGGGGGAAGTCTAGGATTCTCAGTGACGGTGGCCTGCATTGAGAACGAGTGTCCCACAATAAATCAGACGTTGGCCCGCTGTAGACAGGACTAAGAAAATTTTCTAGGATGAAAAAAAAATTTTTTTTGTAAGTGCTCCGCGCGGCGTAGAGGGACGGAGGGGCCGCGGGGCTGGAGCGCTGCAGGGAAGGAAGCGACGGCGGGTGCCCGCTCCGTGCCGGGGACCCGGCCGGGGCCTCGGCGCGGGGCGGGGCGTGAGCGGGCCCCGCCCGTGGGGCGTGGCCTCGGGCCCCGCCCCCGGCTCCTCCCCCGGCGCGGCGCGGGGCGCTGCGCGGCCTCGGGGTGCCTAGGCGCGGGCGGCGGCGGCCGGCCGGGGCGCAGCGGCAGGATGAACAGCATCAAGAACGTGCCGGCGCGGGTGCTGAGCCGCAGGCCGGGCCACAGCCTGGAGGCCGAGCGCGAGCAGTTCGACAAGACGCAGGCAAGCGGCGGGGGCCGCGGGCGGCGCGGGGGGCGGCTCTCCGGGGTCCTGGCCGCGAGCGCTCCTGCCAGGCCGGGGACGGCTCCGCTGGGGGCGCGGGGCGGGGCCACGGGGTCTCCGGGCGCGGGGGGCTCAGGCGCGGGGCGCGCGGGGACTCGGGGGGCGCGCGGGGGGCTCGGGGCGCGCGGAGGGGGCTCGGGGGCGCGTGGGGGCTCGGGGTGCGCGGGGAGCTCGGGGCGCGCGGGGAGCTCGGGGCGCGCGGGGACGCGGGCGCGCGCGGGGTCCCCGCCCCGGCCCCAGCCGCCCTGCGCGCAGGTGAACCGGAAGCGCGCGGCGTCCGGGGCGGGTGTCCGCGGG